GATGAATCATAAGGGGGTTCAAAATATTTGTGGGGGGGGATTTTTTTTTTTTTCATTTTTTTTTTCTTTTAAAATTTTCCATTTTAAGTTGGTTATTTCTGATTTATATTTAAAAGCAAATAATAATGATATGGTAGGAGATACACTCCAAACAGGATGTGTAAATTATTATATAATAAGTATTGTGCAATAGCAAGAAGTTTTCAATTGCGCAGTATTGCACAATAGCAAGAAATCTTCAATTGCACAGTATTGCGCAATAGCAAGAAATCTTCAATTGCACAGTATTGCGCAATAGCAAGAAATATCCAATAGCACAATATTGCGCAATAGCAAGAAATTGTCAATTGTACAGTATTGCGCAATAGCAAGAAATATTTAATTGCACAGTATTGTGCAAAAGAAGATACTTCGTATAAATTGCTTATTTCTTGACCAATTTCAATGGGGTTTTATTCTTGAATTCTTGGGTTTCTTTAATATGCTGAATCTAACCGTGTATTTAGTTTTTGGATTTTGGGCCCCGTTTTTTTAATTGGTCCAAATTGAGGTCCAAAGGGTCCAAAATTAAACTTTGTTTGATTTCATCAAAAATTGAATTATTGGGGTTCTTTGATATGCCGAATCTAACCATGTATTTAGATTCTTAATTTTTGGTTCCGTTTTCAAATTGGTCTACATTAAGGTCCAAAGGGTCCAAAATTAAACTTAGTTTGATTTTAACAAAAATTGAATTCTTAGGGTTCTTTGATATGCTGAATCTAAACATGTATTTAGATTTTTGATTACGGGCCCAGTTTTCAAGTTGGTCCAAATCGGGGTCCAAAATTAAACTTTGTTTGATTTCAACAAAAATTGAATATATGGGGTTCTTTGATATGCTGAATCTAACCATGTATTTAGATTTTTGATTTTTGGGCCGCGTTTTCAACTTTGTCCACATTGAGGTCAAAAGGGTCCAAAATTAAACTTTGTTTGATTTCATCAAAAATTGAATTCTTGGGGTTCTTTGATATGCCGAATCTAACCGTGTATTTAGATTCTTAATTTTTGGTTCCGTCTTCAAATTGGTCTACATTAAGGTCCAAAGGGTCCAAAATTAAACTTAGTTTGATTTTAACAAAAATTGAATTTTTAGGGTTCTTTGATATGCTGAATCTAAACATGTATTTAGATTTTTGATTATGGGCCCAGTTTTCAAGTTGGTCCAAAACGGGGTCCAAAATTAAACTTTGTTTGATTTCAACAAAAATTGAATATATGGGGTTCTTTGATATGCTGAATCTAACCATGTATTTAGATTTTTGGGCCGCGTTATCAACTTTGTCCACATTGAGGTCAAAAGGGTCCAAAATTAAACTTTGTTTGATTTCATCAAAAATTGAATTCTTGGGGTTCTTTGATATGCTGAATCTAACCATGTATTTAGATTTTGGATATTGGACCATAATAGGTGAATGTCCAATTTAAAATTTTTAAGTTCTTAGACCACATTCATTCTGTGTCAGAAACCTATGCTGTGTCAAATATTTAATCACAATCCAAATGCAAAGCTGTATCAAGCTTGAATGTTGTGTCCATACTTGCCCCAACTGTTCAGGGTTCGACCTCTGCGGTCGTATCAAGCTGCGCCCTGCGGAGCATTTTATTTGTTATTATCTTAGATATCATTATAATATCTAATATCTAATACTATTAATTATGATTTTAACCTTATTTTACATGATTTCCAAAGCATCAGTAAATACAGGTGAGCAACACAGGCTCTTGAGAGCCTCTAGTTTTTACTGAAATCCTAAAATGCATTAATGGTGTTTTCTAAATTCTGATCTCAATGAAATGTCCCAAATGATTTCTGTACATTTTTTTACCATAACCTAAAATAAATCCTGAATACCATGTTTTGATCATTGGATGTGTCCAGCAAATATGACCATTTTTGGAACCTTGATTTAACATTACTGCATGTAGTTGGGATTTGTTCAATATTATTTTGTCTCGCCTGTGACGAAAGTCACAGTATGCGAGACATAGGTATACAAAGGCGTGTTGAAGGCCGTACTTTGACCTATAATTGTTTACTTTCTACACATTGTGACTTGGATGTAGAGTTGTCTCAAATTTTGGCACTCATACCACATCTTCTTATATCTAATTACTATCTGGCGGCGGCGTAAACTATTTGTATAAAGCTTTATACTTAAGAAGGTAGAAGACCTGGATGCATCATACCTTGTATGCAGATTCCTTATGTTACGAAGTTTCCACCTGTCATATGCCCATTGTCCTTGACCTCATTTTCATGGTTCAGCGACTGCTTGAAAAAAAATTTCAGTTTTTTTGCCATGTGAATTTCTAACTTATTATGAGTAATAGGATAACTATTTCCTTTAAACATCTACATGTCTGTCAAACAGGGTTAACTTGACCTCGACCACAATTCACGGATCAGGGATGAAGGTTTAAGTTACGTGATTAGGTCCGTTTCTCAGATACTACAAGCAGCAGGTCAACTATATGTGGTGTATGGAATGATTGTAAGGGGTACATGTCAGACTGGCAGGTTTAATCTGACCTTGACCTTATTTTCATGGTTCATTGGTCATTGTTAATGTTTTTTGTTTTGGTCTGTTTTTCAAGTACTGTAAGCAATATATCAACTATATTTGGTGTTTGGAATGATTGTTAGTTGTACATGTCTGTTTAGCTGGTGTCATCTGATCTTGACCTCATTTTCATGGTTCATTGGTCAATTTTAAGTTTTTGTGTTTTGGTCTATTTTTTAAGTACTATAAGCAATAGGTCAACTATATTTGGTTTATGGAATGATTGTAAGGTGTACATGTCTGTCCAGGGTTTTCCATTCATTTTGGCCTAAAATCTCCATTTATTCGACTATGAAAAAAAGATTCTATATCAATAGGATAAATGCAAAATATATTACGAAAAGTAGGTTTTATAGCAAATCTTCCTTAAGAAAATCTATGTGATGTCGGGATTTATAACACTCCTACAATTCCATCTCACCAGGGTTTTATTATCAGTATACTAGGTTTTCATAACATTATGCAATACATACAAATTACTACAAATTTTTAGATTATAAATTATAACGTGGTTACCTATGAATGGGAAGAAAAAATATCTCATGTACATGTATTATCTATATAATGACAGTACAATTATCTACTTCTGTTTTTGTGTTAATACAGAAATTTTGCAAGAAACAATTTTTCAGACATAATAGCTTTATTTTAATATCCATGGTCAAAAGAAGCACCATAGTGACAAAGGATTCAGTGTTAGGAATTAGTAAGATAATTATACAATGTACCCGTTTGGAAGGAAGGGGTATACTGTTTTACCCCTGTTTGTCTGTCCATACAATGTACCCGTTTGGAAGGAAGGGGTATACTGTTTTGCCCCTGTTTGTCTGTCCATCTCTGTAAAAACCATTATTGTTGATTGATTTCTTGTAACAATTTAAGTTTTAACATGACAATGAGTACATAGTCAATGTTTTAACATGACAATGAGTACATAGTCAATGTTTTGACATGACAATGAGTACATAGTCAATGTTTTAAAATGACAATGAGTACATAGTCCATGTTTTAAAAAAGCAAATCTTTATTTATTTGAAAAGAAGCATCTGTTCATTTATGGAATATTATGTAAAGCTTAGGAATAAATTTGATGTACTTTTTTATTTAATAATTCTTGAAACTGTATTTCTGTCCTAAATACTACGCAAAATCTTCGAATTTTAGGTCCTCGAGGCTCTTCATACTTCATTTGGCCTGTTTAACTTTTTTGATTCAAGTGTCACTGATGAGTCTGTTGTAGACAAAATACCTGTCTGATGTACAAAATCTTAATCCTGGTGTCTATGATGAGTTTATTCATATAGACAATGGACAGAAACAAGCCAAACATAATCAAATTCTTACTTTTTTGCATTTTATGTTGGATGTTATGCAGAAGAAAATGAAGTGGGTTTTGGATTGAAGGAAACAGACCAGATATTTTTCAATATTTCGTTTTAATAATTAAAAAAAAAGAATATGTATAGATAAAAAAAAACAAGTCTGTCTTGTTATAGGGAACCTAACAAGTGTATTGAAGGGTCCAAAGAGGGTGGGGGTTGTTGTTCTGGAGGGTTGAATCCCCCTTTTTGTTTGACAATTAATGCTTTTGTATGGTTTGAACCCCCTTTTTATATGACTTGCCTCTGTTGGAACCCCCTTTTAAAAATGGTTGGATCTGCTCCTGCAAGTGGGTGCACAATATTCCAATATCATCAATGAAGGAATTGATGCTTTTAAATTTCAACCTTATCCAATCAGAATTGACATTACAAAATATAACATAAGAATGAATTATAACAGATGTGTAAGTGAATCAATATCTATTATTGTGATCAGATGATTTACAGTATCAATCAATTCCTTGTCACCCCATTATTTAAACTCTCTTTTCTTAACTCTGTACTTGAAAAAAAAATCTTCATTTTATAGGTTTTAGTATACACAGGTAATTGTCACAAGGTATCGAAACATCAGCATGATAAGCGAAAACTAAAAATATGTTTTGCAGAAAAAAGTCAATATTAGAAGAAGGAAATTCTTAGTTTTAAGAATTTTTGTTTCAGTTCAATACAGTGGATATATTGTACACAATAGTATTTTTCAAATTCAAGAATAGTTTAATTTATTCTAGATGAAAGTAAGTGAACAAAGAGAATAAAAGTAGAAGATGTTACTTCTTCATCAACTTTCTTATAATTCAAATATAAAAGACACTTTGACTTTTGTCCAGTTTCATAATGTTAGTAGGTATTGATAGCAGTGACAATGTTTTGAGATGGGTTCATTTGAAGTAACCATGTTGATGTATATAAAAATAATGCTAAAAATACACTATGACTTGAGACCCTGATTACATATATTCTAAGTTGTAATTAGGAATGGATGAATTCTTTCATGTTGGTTCTCTTGCAGATATATTGACATTTGTGTAAATGTATAATGTAGGAAGAAACAGATCAATTAGGATTATTTGAAACCTGATGGAAATTCTCAATAGAATGACATTTCCTTAATAGTGATGTATTGTCCTTTCTGAAACGGTGAGTTTTACACATAGCTTTAATGTTATCAATTGAAAAATATAGTAGCTGTAGTATTGAGCAACTTTTAAAAGCAAAATACAAACAAAAGTTTGGAAAAGATTTGTATTGTGATTTGGGTCTTGATGTGGGCAGACCTGTACTGAATGAGCTTTTTCTAACTGACTTTTCACAATATGCTGTAGATCAGACAAATGAAGTATTAATTTGGCATGGCCTTAATGCTGGAATTTGCATCTTGTGACTTTTTCAAATACATTACGATTGTACTTTTATCAAATACATGTAGACTGACCATAATGCTAGTTAACTAGTTACCTTATACTGTAGTCCTGTATACATTATGTAAGACTTTTTTACAAAATATAGAATAACATATTTTTATATTTATGAACTCTTAATTACATTTAATTGTGAAAAAAATATTAAACTCAAAATTGTCATTGAAATATACATGCGACAGGAAATATCCATTTCACAATGTTTCATCTATTTATTATACCATCAAAATACTAATAGTAGAGTTACCCTATTATGTTCAAATTGTGAAATACGAATAATAGAATTTTAAATTGATAATTGACAAATGGGATATGTTTTCCCCTGTTCGGTACTACAGTAGGTTATTCCCATATGTTTTGACCAATAAAGGCTCTTACTAAATTGTGTAAATGTATTGATGTTACAGGATGTATGATCTTAAATCTAAGCCTCTACTCTATCCTAATAAGGATGTGCAGCTCAGATTTTCAAAGGGGCAGTCAAGTAGCTAGACTTTGTTTTAATATTTAGTTGTTAAATCAAATTAAATTGGCTGTCAAATTCACCACTGAAATTATTGATTTATTATGGTAAACAGTACAAACCAGGTTTCATAGTAATCAATGTATTATGGTAATTGAGTTAAGTTATGATTTAATTTATTGGAACAATTGATTTTTGGACCAGAAATTGTGTTTTGTTTGGTCTGAATTAAGATAACTGTTACATGAATATACTTATGAAATGAGTGTGGTGATTATTTATGTAAGTGTCAGACCACCAATCCACCCATTCCAATTTAGCACATATAATGCTAAAGTAACCCTTTCCTGACAAAATACAGTGCTTCTGATGTCATTGTTTACTTCAACTAACAAACAAATTTGCGGAAATGAAACTTTCGGTGAAAGAGAAAAATTTTTTGACCAATTTGAGCCAAAATTTACTTGTTCATGATTTTGCATTAAAAATTGAGGATTAATGTGCTCCGTGGTATACTTATTTAAGATTTGAAGAAATTCAGTAGCAGTTGACTTTCGAATAGTTGTGTTTCATAACAAGACTTTAACATTGGTTGAAAATTGGTATATAGAAAAATGATACATGTTCAATTCAGGAATGGATATTAACCTGGTTTCTAAGAAGTTAAACTTGAGGTAAAATATTTAGAAAGCTGTGAATATTGAAAATTTGGTTGATTATATATGGGTGTTGAATTAGTGGTCTGAAACCTGTAACATTTTCAGGTTATTTCGTATCAGGTTCTAAATTTCAATTTTATACAACTAAGATTTATCAATAAGTGATATAGGTCAAACTTTTTTCTGTGGTTTTAAAATTAAAGAAGGCAATCATGATGAAAATGACACTAGGATTAACAACATTAACAAGCAATCCCATATTTTCATGATATAAATAAGATGAACTTGGAAGTCTTCCACAGATCGATGTACGATATTTTTTTATAAATTGCTCTAAAAATCAATGGAATAACAGGAAATATTTGATCTTACAAATGTATAAATTTTCTTTCCAGTTTTAAATATTTTCTGTAAATATGTTAAGCCTGATGGTGTACCATTTATTATATGTTACATAACACATAGCATTGTTGTTAAGAAGTACATGTGTAAGAAATGTACACTTATGTGCACAATCGAAACTAGGCATTTGACAAAAATATAGGATTAAAAAAATGATATGTTTGCTTTGTTAAAAGTCATTTAAGTACATTTTGTAGGTAGGTCATTTGTTTTCTTATAAATTTCTTGTTACAACAGGTAAAAAATATATTGGTAGGCCTTAAATTTAATAATTGATCTTTAATGTAGAAACCAAAAATGTAATGGGCAAGTAATAATGAAAAAATAAAAATATTGTAAAATAGAATTGTTGGCTAAAGGCATCTTTGCAGACAATGTTGTCATCACCCATTTGTGGGTACAAGTATTGATTGGTCAGGTAAATGATCTTTTCAAATTCAAGAACAGTTTTATGTATTGTTGATGAATGTAAGTGAAAAAGAAAATAAAAATAGAAGATGTTACTTCTTCATCAACTTTCTTCTAATTCATACATAAAAGACACTTTGTTAAGATTGTTAATTGGTATTAATTAATAAGTAGTGTCAATTTGTCCAGTAAATTAGACAGAATCTGGACCATTGTATCCATACATAGTAAAACAATTGATGGCCAGTTATACAAAAAATAATTGAGTTACAAAATATATGTACATTGATTAATTTGATATCTCTGTGTTATCCAATTCAAAAAATTACTATGGCTTAGTATAGACACAGAGTGATCTACAGAGTTTAACTTAACACTGTGATATACATATCACCACTATTGAAGGGCATCCATACCTAATAGCAGTCATGTACAAAAATGATAATGTTCACTTGGACAATCTATGTGTGATGGATTGGGTAGATCATCTGAGATAGTCTGTGTTTAACACAAGGCACTCTGGTATTTGTCCTTAAATAAGACTGCTACAGAATTGTTCCAATATTTAAGAAGAACTGTGATACCCAATTCTCTGAGTTAAATAAATTTGTCTAGATATGTAAAGTAACATTGATTAAGTTATCAGGTTGTAACAGTAGATATAACACCCCTTTGAGAAAATTGATATCAATCAGTGATTACAGTACACTTGACAAGTTTCATATATTCTAAATATGAAAATAAAGAAATGGGGTATGATTGCCAATGAGACAACTATCTACAAGAGTCCAAATGATTTGGATGTAAACGAACAAAAAAAGGCCTTATTTTTGACAAAGCAAAAAACAAACAAGACAAACAGAAATTGACGTTCTATGTTTTGTTAACAACACAAACAGAAATCGACGTTTTGTTTTTGTCGAGCCTGCGACTTTTGTCGCAGAAAGCTCGACATAGGGATAGTGATCGCGTTAGCTAACTTCTTAAAAGTTTTATATTTTAGAGGGTGGAAGGTCTGTATGCTTCATACTTTGTATATGGATGCCTCATGTTACGAAGTTTCCGTCAGTCACATGTCCAATGTCCTTGACCTCATTTTCATGGTTCAGTGACTACTTGAAAAAAAAGTTAAGATTTTTTGTAATGTTAATTTCTCTCTTATTATGAATAATAGGATAACTATATTTAATATGTGCGTACCTTGCAAGGTCCTCATGCCCGTCAGACAGTTTTCAACTGACCTCGACCTCATTTCATGGATCAGTGAACAAGGTTAAGTTTTGGTGGTCAAGTCCATATAACAGATACTATAAGCAATAGGTCTTCTATATTTGGTGTATGGAAGGACTGTAAGGTGTACATGTCCAACTGGCAGGTGTCATCTGACCTTGACCTCATTTTCATGGTTCAGTGGTTATAGTTAAGTTTTTGTGTTTTGGTCTGTTTTTCTTATACTGTATGCAATAGGTCTACTATATTTGGTGTATGGAAGGACTGTAAGGTGTACATGTCTAGCTGGCAGGTGTCATCTGACCTTGACCTCATTTTCATGGTTCAGTGGTTATAGTTAAGTTTTTGTGTTTTGGTCTGTTTTTCTTATACTGTATGCAATAGGTCTACTATATTTGGTGAATGGAAGGACTGTAAGGTGTACATGTCTAGCTGGCAGGTGTCATCTGACCTTGACCTCATTTTCATGGTTCAGTGGTTATAGTTAAGTTTTTGTGTTTTGGTCTGTTTTTCTTATACTGTATGCAATAGGTCTACTATATTTGGTGTATGGAAGGACTGTAAGGTGTACATGTCTAGCTGGCAGGTGTCATCTGACCTTGACCTCATTTTCATGGTTCAGTGGTTACAGTTAAGTTTTTGTGTTTTGGTCTGTTTTTCTTATACTGTATGCAATAGTTCAACTATATTTGGTGTATGGAATGATTGTAAGGTGTACATGTCTAGCTGGCAGGTGTCATCTGACCTTGACCTCATTTTCATGGTTCAGTGGTCAAAGTTAAGTTTTTGAGTTTTGGTCTTTTTTTCTAATACTATATGCAATAGTTCAACTATATTTGGTGTATGGAAATATTTTATGATCTATTTGTCAGTCACGCAGGTTTTTTTAACCTTGACCTCATTTTCAAGGTTCATTGCTCAGTGTTAAGTTTTTGTGTTTTGGCCTGTTTTTCATACTATAAGCAATAGGTCAACTATATTTCTTGTATGGAAGAATTGTTAGCTGTACATGCCTGCCTAGCATGGTTCATCTGACCTTGACCTCATTTTCATGGTTCATTGGTCAATGTTTAGTTTACTTGGTTAATGTTAAGTTTATGTGACAGTTGTAATAAAGCTTCATATTTAGGACTATCAACATAATATCAATGATAAGTAAAGAAGGCGAGACATTTCAGCGTGTCCACTCTTGTTAATTGTAGATATGGATGAAAGAAGAGTGGCAGATTATTTTGTGGTAGTTGGTCTTCCTGACAACCCACTTCCTCTAGAGGAAATATCAAATGAAGCGGCCATTAAATCATCATACAAACAAGATCCTATCACAGATATTTGTATCATTAACAAGTCATTAGGGGAGAAATTGCCAAAAAATTATACATGTATAGCTAAGACTTCTTCTGGATTCCCTGCAGATTTAAATCATGGAAGTATACGATGCCATGAATTGTACATTTGTTACAGACGAAGTAGAGAGAAACCTCCACTTATTGATGTTGGGTAAGGTTATCATAGAAAAGCATACATTAGAAAGTGAAACTATTCAATCTTTTCTAAATAACATGATAAACAATTTTCCTTGTATGTAGTTATAAAATTAATTAGGTTTGAAATCACTTTCAGGAACATAGACTATGAATTGTTATATTATTTGAAATAGCAATCAATGTAAATAGTGCTTTAATTTTTAACAACACTTTATAATTATCCAAAACACTTACTGAATTAATTCCTGGTGTGAAAATTTATGAAATGAAAATAATATTTATATTATTTTTGAATGTCAGAATAAAAAAATACCCCATGAACATATATTATATTTGTTTGTATCAATATCTGGTGTTAAGTCAACCTGTGATCATGTTAAAGATAAATTCCTTGACAATGTACATGAAAGTATAATCATGTGAGATGTTTTATCATTGTTATTTATTTACAGGGTGTTGTATGAAGGAAAGGAGAGATTAATGCCAGGATGTGAGGTTGTACATACCACAGCCTGGGGTAGCCCTGCTAATGTTAACAATTCAAATAATGCAAGGATATATATCACATTCAGAAGAGCAAAAGAAGAAGCTGCTAGTGATACACTATCTGTGGTTGATATATGTGTCATTCTGTCAAATAAGGTATGGCATATGAACAAAATATCTCATGCAGAACCAACCTACTTCAAGGTTGTTGATTTAGGTATTCAGTCAGAGAGAGAAACATAATAATAGTTAATAAAAAAAAGGATTGAACACTTTGTTGAAATGAATCACTTTAAACTTATTCAAAGTGCTTCAGACATGTTTGCCAGATATCCAAAATAGAAAACAATTGTTTTGTATTTGGGTAAATTTTGCAAGATTTTACAGAACTATGAAAAATATTAGTAAATAAGCTTATACAACTGAAGATATTCATGTTATAGTGGTTATGTTTTATTTCAGAATGAAAATCCTCCACATGCCTACCATTGTATAGAGAAAAATTTAAACAAAGGAATGGTAAGTTCTGTACATCACAGAAACGATTAGTTTTATGATATACATTTTCATAAAAATTTAAATGATGTAATTAAGATTACCTTATTAAGAAATCAGCTTACAGTTCATTTAGAATTCAGCTAGTAAATTGACCCTGAAAGCTTAAACGTTTACTTGACAGCAGAATATTGGTACCAGCAAGGATGCTGAAATTTTCATTAAGGAACTGACATATAAAGATTTAAAGCATTGCTAAATATTATTACTTCAGTTTTATCTAACAAATAATGCAGTTCCAATCAAGGCATTATTGAGTTGCCCTTTTGAAATATTTGACATAGCTCAATTCTCATATCATAGAAAAATGTAATCAGGATTGGAACTTACGACAAAAAAATATGTATTAAAGCATTAGTATGTTTATGATTTTGTCTTTTCAGATTGGGTCAGATGTTTTTATATGTTACAAAAAAGCTGTAACCAAAGCAGACCTATTAGCTTATAAGCCAGGTATATACAGTACCCTTTACCATACTTATCTAGTCATATGACAAGCAAATACCTGTCTTTGAAATGGTCTTGTTTGATAAGATAAAAATTAAAGTCAAACTGGCATAAAATTGAGAATGGAAATGGGGAATATGTCAAAGAGACAACAACCCGACCAAAAAGCAGACAACAGCCGAAGGCCACCAATGGGTCTTCAACGCAGCGAGAAAATCCCGCACCTGGAGGTGTTCCTCAGCTGGCCCCTAAATAAAATTGTGTACTAGTTCAGTGAAAATGGACGTCATACTAAACTCCAAAACATATAAATGAACTAAAATTAAAAAACATACAAGACTAACAAAGGCCAGAGGCTTCTGACTTGGGACAGGCGCAAAAATGCGGCGGGGTTAAACATGTTTTGTGAGATCTCAACCCTCCCCCTATACCTCTAGCCAATGTAGAATAAAGAAACACATAGCATAAACACACAGTAAAACTCAGTTTAAAAGAAGTCCGAGTCAGATGTCAGAATAGGTAACAAAAGAAACTAAGCAAAAAGACAATGATACATAAATGAACAAAGGACTACTAGCAGTTACTGACATGCCAGCTCCAGACCTCAATTAAACTGATTGAAAGATTATGTCTTCATCATTTGAAAATCAAGTACAATCCCTCCCTGTATATCTGTAATTGTTCATTTAACTCTAAATATACTTAGCCAACCTCTACAATGTTAAAAAAAAATGTTGTGTGTTTTTTTTTTTATAAAATTAACAGTTAAGGTTCTAAGAAAGAGTTCCATTGATAATGGTTATAGGTTGCTCTTTGTAAATACAGCTGTTTCTCAAACCACGCCTCTTTTGGGGAGATATTTAATATTCATAGGTATGTTAATTTGTTAACGTACTGGTTCCCATTGATGATCTCTGTGTTTCATCTCATAGAGACATCACTTGGGAATGTAACCAGTATAGATAAACATGGTAGCGGCTAAATTTTAATTCTTAGGAGGTCCAAAAATGGAGGTAAGGGTAGTATAGAATTTTAGTATAAGTTTAAACTCTTAGAAGTTCAGGGCATATAAATGTTGAAAATATGCCGCACAGCCCTATATTTTGACCTTTGAATAGTAGTGCATATAAACTTTCCGTTCTGGGATATTATTTTTCACAAAACTTCATAGTAAAAGTGTCACAGTTTTAGCCGCAAAGGGAGTTCCTATGGGAAATTGCATTGTCTGTATTTACAGAATTGCAACCTATATAGGGTTAAAAAATAGAACATACAGAATTTCACAAAATCTGGTTTATCTCAGAGATTTTAAAGAATTTAACTCAAATATGAAGTTTTATAAATATTTCATGAAGATTGAGAAAATCCTGGGCCTTAACTATGATGACTCAGCATAAATTCACAGTTTACAGTATGCATGGTTTACTTAAAGCCCTGAATTCAAAATAAATTCATAATATATGCCTATTTGTAATTTAAATTGTTTAGAAGTGCTTATATTTACTCTTAACAGTAATTGCAACTCATTGATCCTTCCTAAATATTTCTGGTGGGGTGTTTTTGTCCTGTCGATAACCCAAAAGTAAGCCGTAACGCCTAAATGTGCTTTTTTGTGACTGCGGCATAAAAAAGTACAAGCTAGAATTACAAAAAGACCTCAGTAAAACTTACAATAGTGTGTTCTATCCTAAATATGTAGTAAATATTTCACATTGCTAGAAACAGGGAAAAAAATTAGGAAATGTGAGGCCCCAGGGGCAAAAAACAGAGGAAAATACCTACCCCTGAGTCATAAAACAGATAATTTAACTTGTAAATGCATGATTTTTTTATTTTAAAGGTCTTTTATAAAGTAAACAATAACTGTGCTAGGAAGTTATGCAAAAATCAGATGTAAGCAGTCATTTCAATCAAACTTTTAGTGAATTTATGCACCAGACTGATATCTTCATAAATACAACTTTTGCAAATATGCCTTTGTTTAAACACTTCTAGGATATATATTAACTAACTTATGTTAGATATATGGTTAGGGATGATACTGTTGTGACAAGAATTCTAAACTGACCATTTGAGGCAGAAATTGTGAACTTTCATTGACAAATAGGCATACAGTAAGATGTGGACTGGAGACACAGGCAGGATTGTATACTTTGTATAATCTTGAATGTTGGAATGCTTAACTACTAAACAAAACATTTATAGTATTCTAAAATGCTTTCAATTTGTTATCAGAATAGTTCCAAACAGGTTTTAGACAGTTCATGTCAGAAAACATGCACATAGGGTAAGCTGGCAATAATTAGAGTCTTGTTTTCAAAATCTTTAAAAAATTGAAACAGGGGTAGGGGTATAAAATGTACTGTAAAAGGAGACTTAGAGTATATGCAGTGATTTCTTCAAGGCTATAATTCTGATAAATAAGTATTGTTGTGAGAAAAAGTGTTTTTAGAGAGTTTTCTATTTGAATAAATGTTTGTATAGGTTGCACTTTGTAAATACAGCTGTTTCTCAAACCACGCCTCTTTTGGGGAGATATTTAATATTCATAGGTATGTTAATTTGTTAACGTACTGGTTCCCATTGATGATCTCTGTGTTTCATCTCATAGAGACATCACTTGGGAATGTAACCAGTATAGATAAACATGGTAGCGGCTAAATTTTAATTCTTAGGAGGTCCAAAAATGGAGGTAAGGGTAGTATAGAATTTTAGTATAAGTTTAAACTCTTAGAAGTTCAGGGCATATAAATGTTGAAAATATGCCGCACAGCCCTATATTTTGACCTTTGAATAAAATAGTAGTGCATAAAAACTTTCCGTTCTGGGATATTATTTTTCACGAAACTTCATAGTAAAAGTGTCACAGTTTTAGCCGCAAAGGGAGTTCCTATGGGAAATTGCATTGTCTGTATTAACAGAATTGCAACCTATATGTAATAGGGACTATTTTACCAAATTGGTAATGAGAAATTTACCAGGAATACAGAACTTTTATATAGGTTTAGTATTTAATTTACAAAATTATAAGGAATTATATTTTACAGCAATATTGGACAGATATCCCATAGAAGATTACGAGAGTTTCCCTTTGCCAGAATCTGTACCTATGTTTTGTTTACCTATGGGAGCATCCGTTGAATGTTGGTCTGCCAAAGCTCAACATCCTCTACCAATCTTTTCTACTTTCGTTTTAACAGGATCAGACGGAGAAAAGGTAAGATTATATCAATATATGCACTTTTTACTAGGTGGCTTGTTGATTGGTTGGTGTATTTCAAATGATTTTATGAGGTTAGAATATTGGTAAACTACTGTAGCATCTTGTTTGAGAATCCATAGTTTGATAGTAAGTGATACAAGGTATAATATTTCCCTACTGTGTTGATTATTCTTGAAACATTTTGTTAACTTCAGACTTTTTATGCCCCCGTCGTAGTGGTGGGGGCATTAAGTTTTACCCTTGTCCGTCTATACGTACGTACGTACGTCTCGAAATTGGTTTCCGTTCTTTAACTTGAGTTTGCCTCAACCAAATGTTATGAAACTTATACACAATGCTTATTACCACAAAACACAGATCAAGTTTGAATTTTGGTGGCATCACTTTAACCGTTCTAGAGTTATGCCCCTTTATAAATGGAAAAATTGCAAAAATTTTATTTTCTTCTAAATATCAAGTAATTTTCAAAATTGGAGTTATCTTCCTTTGTGTATGATTATAGTTGAATCAACTACAATCAATGCTTAATACAATGCAATGTTTAATTTTGACATCCACTAATAAAACACAGATCAAGTTGAATTTGGGTAGTGTCACTTTAACCATCATTGAGTTATGCCCCTTTATAAATCGAAAGATTGCAAAAATTTTAGTTTCCATTCTGTAACTTAAGTTTGCCCCAACCAAACATTATGAAACCTATACACAATATTCATTACCACAAAACTAAGATCAAGTACAAATCTTTTGTTTCTGTTTTCTAACTTTAGTTTGCCTCAACCAAATGTTATGAAACTTATACACAATGCTTATTACTACATAATACAGATTAAGTACGAAATTTGGTGGCAACACTTTTACCATTCTTGAGTTATGTCCCTTTATAAACATAAAAATTGCTGAATTGTTTGTTTCTGTTCTCTAACTTTAGTTTGTCTCAACCAAATGTTATAAAACTTATACACAAACGTTCTAGAGTTATGTGTGTTTACAAATAGAAAAATTGCTGAATTTTTAGTTTCTGTTCTCTACTTAAGTTAGCCTCAACCAAATGTTATGAGACTTACACACAATGCTTATTACCACAAAACTCAGATCAAGTTAAAATTTGGGTAGTGTCACTTTTACCGTTCTTCAGTTATGTCCCTTTATAACTATATGATATGCAAGCGGGGGCATCATCCAGTGGCGGATCCAGAAATTTTCATAAGTGGGGGCCCACTGACTGCCTAAGAGGGGGCTCGCTCCTGTCATGCTTCAGTGATTCCCTATATAATCAACCAATTTTTTTCCCCAAAAGGGGGGGCCCGGGCCTCCTGAAAAACCCTCTAAATCCACCTCTGTCATTTGTGTCCACATGTGGACACTATCCACATTTATTTTTATCAGTGTTACTGTATGGATTATAAATTTGATAGCTTACTTATTTTAGTTTTTTCATTAAAGAAATTCATGATAAAAGTAGGAAAATAATAATCACCAACCATCAAATTTGGGTAGAAAAGTGCCTTCCAACACCCCCTTTTTACAATCAATTCTGGAACAGCTCTATGGTAGAATTAGGTAATATCTTATTAAAGGTCTATAGCTCTCTTCAGTCTGCTTTCCTCAATCAATAACTCTGACCTTCATGAAAACATTTGAATTTAAAGAGTGGCATTCAATCTCCATCAATCTATCAAATTAGCATGTATATATTTCTTCCTAGAATATAATGAAATATGATTTTTTTGTAGGTGTATGGAGCTGCAGTTCAGTTTTATGAAGAATTTGAAGAGGAAAAATTGTCAGATTTACAAATGAGACATCTTGGATTGAAAAACAAACACATAAGAGAACAATATAGAATACTAAAAACTGTTCATTCTAATAAGTGTATATGTTTACTGTCGCACTGGCCATTCTTTGATGCCTTCCGACTATTTCTTACATATTTATATAGGAATTCTATAACTGGTCCACATACTGTTCCATTAGAAAGGTTAGTATATCTGAATATTAAAGAGTCACTCTAGATTTTTTTAAATCATATATTTATTGTGAACCAAATGAAACTTTTCCACAGAGTCATCTCCTCTCAGTCAAGGTATTAAAACTTTTGTCAGACAAGTGAACTGACAAAAGTTTTAATACCTTGAGAGGAGATGGCTCTGTGGAAAACTTTCATTTTGTTTGCAGTAATAAAACATCTCAGTTGATTTGATTTGAAAAATGGATAGACTATAACTTAGCTAAGTTATCTTATAGAGTTCTCACTTTTTATATGAAGAATGAAGTTATTGTACTTTGGTGTAGCTGAAATTCACACAGAACATAATTTTAGTTTCACTTGATGACATTTTGCTATCTTGATTGATGGTAAAAGGGGTGCTCTTTCAGACAGTTAAACAGTAATTTTATGTTGCTGAGATTATAAAATATGTTTATATAGCATGGTTAAACGCAGTGTATTAGATGAAACTTCTCAATACATGTATAACAATACAAAAGTTATTTTTTATTTTAAATCATGATGACTAGATTAATATGAGAATATTAATCCGATGTTGTGGTTTTTTTTTCAGACATATATCACATTTTATGTATGATGTACCATACCCTTCGCCACAAAGACCTAACATCTTAGTTCAGGTTAGTTAGTCCTTAGTAGTTAGTTGAAAATTGAGTTATAGAGAAGATATTTATCTGGGGTGTAAATAGATGATCTTATGAGTAGCAAATTCTAACTTGTAGTGGTTTCTTTAAGTTAAGATTCTTATTTAGTTCGAAATGATACTAGAGAAAAAAAGGACAAAGCTTATAGAATTCTACACCACATTTAAATTGTATTTTTTGTGTGTTTTAGCTCAGCCATGAAGCCATAATATTGTCCATGCCAGAGGATTCACCACTGCCTCAAAGGTTGGTTATTTATAGCGCTCAGAAATGTTGGTTTTTTTTTTTTTATTGGAAGAAATAGTGTAAGATGAGGAAATACTGTAATCTGTATTTTCTCATATGTGATGTAAATGTTGACTTTACTGTCAATATTAGGAAAACACAAGTTGAAAGAATATTGATTATTATTTTTTCTTTGAAGGGATAAAAATTATTATTTTCCAAAAGATAGTTTCTGTGACAAACTGGAAATATTGAAAATACCAGAAACTTAACGTTTTGACACAAAGAGTCCTGTGTTATGGCACACACATGATAAAAGTGTGATTTGTTTTTACAAAAGTAGTTTATTTTTGTTTTGAAAGTTGTGTAAATTAACAGATGAATGGTATTACTGATTAATATTCAATACATTACAATTTATCGGATCCTTGAATGTGATAATTAATATCTGTAGAACTACTCTAACTAATCATGCTAATATTAAGAGGTTACTCATCATGAAGACTGTAATAATAAAATAGTTTTTGATTCATATGATATCTTGCTAAAATGCAAAATTTGTTGTGTATTTCAGTGGAGCTTCATTTATCACAATGTTAAAGAATTTAGGACCAGAGAACTGCATGAACTTACTGTTATATATTCTACATGAACACAAAGTATTGATACATTCACTTCGACCAGCTGTGTTAACTGGTGTTGCTGAAGCTGTGATAAATGTAAGTATTGTTAATTATATTTAATTTATACTCCTACTGAAGACATATTTATCATTAAATATTGTTTATCTTATACCTGTATAAAATATTACTTACTGCGAACCAAATGATACTTTTCCACAGATTCACTTGAAGGTTACCTGTTGATTTAAACTTTTGCAAGTTCTTTTGTCCCATTGAATAAATACAATAGCTATTGTTCTCTCTGTAGTTTATTCACTGGGACCTATAAATTTCTTCTAAGAGAAATCTATCACTCATTGATTAATTTACCCGAGTAAAAAAATTATCTTATAAATAGGCAAAAGTTTAAATCGACAGGTAATCTTCAAGTAAATCTATGGAAAAGTATCATTTAGTTCGCAATAAATTTATCATTACAATAACATTTGAAAATAATTAAAGGGCTATGAAAGGAATATTATATTTATTTACCAGATTCCCAAGAATTTCCTCATCAGGCTGATTATCGAACCTTTATTAACTGCTTCTGGAATGTTATCACATGCCTTTTAAATATTGTCCGTGGGGTTTATTACATGCATCTTTGTGCATTTCTGAAAATTTGTTTGTAAACATTGTAGACGACACAGCTGCCTTTGTTGAGTGAAAAACAGTAACACAGTGCAGAAAACTGCAAGTGATTTAAGAATTTTTTTTAAATGGTTAAGGAGCAAAGTTCATAGAAAGACAAATATTTAATAGTTCTTGTCTGTATTTCTTCTGCTTAAGTATATGATAAAAAGATCATTACATGTCATTTTTCATATCCTTTTGGCTTTCGGCTCTTGGGCTGATATCATGACCTAGGGCCGATAAAGTTCTGATATGAAAAATGCCATGTAATAATCTATACTTACAAACCTCTGTCATGTCTGTGTCCAAGCCTGATTACCTAAGTTTGCCTTGGCCAATTCATAGAAATGTTTTAAGTACTGGTAGGTTTCTTCTCTCTCAGTTTTTACAATTTGGACTTTTGTCGTTGCAGAGTTATTGGACGTTGTTCATTTTAATTTTGAACAGTGAATTGGGACTGTCTATTTCATTGAATTGAATGTAATAAAAGTTTATACCGATCTCAAATCAAACTTTTTTACCACTGTACCTACACAAATATATTATTTATTACTCTTAATGTCATATTTGATCATGTGCATTTAAGATGGACATATCACTGAAAGTAAATATTACACAACTTGCAAAATGTATAAATGCTGCAAAGATTTACAATACACACAATGGCAGAAACCCCCATACATAAACACACAAATTCTTCTGACAAATTTGTTTACAGTTTGCAATGTAGTGTCTATAAATTTCATCTTGTGTATTAAGGTTGTTGATTGTATTCCAGATGATATTCCCCTTACACTGGCAGTGTCCATACATTCCACTGTGTCCATTAGGTCTGTCCTATGTCCTGAGTGCTCCTGTTCCATTTATTGTTGGTAAGTAAAATAGGTTTTGTATGCAAAGACTGCACTAGAATATTTTTGCAACTGATTAAAATTTCTTATGATAAACGAAAAAAACATCAACTGTTCTTATAAGCTGATAAGTACAGACAAGTATGAGTTTAATATGTACTTTTGTACAGCATAAATATATGTGATTTTTTTCAAGTTATTTTGTCTTCAATGGCCTCGAATTAACAAACATAAAACTAAAACTTTCATATGTTTAAGATTTAAAGAACATACACACAACAATATCCTAATTCAAATTATTTATTATCCATGAATCCTACCACGTTGAAAACGAGGCTGAAGATACCAAGGAGGCATTCAAAACATTTAAACAGAATTTTTATTCATTAATTATTAAGTACCATAATCTATCACTATGTGTCCAAATTTAGTTAGTTATGCTGATTTGAAAAGGGTAAATCCACTCTCCTTATATTAATTTCTGGTGTCCATTAGAACACTTTTACCCATCTAATGAATTCTGTCTGACTTCAGCAATTTTTTACTGACTTGAACAACTGAGTTCGAGTAAGCTTCAATAGTATTCTAAGAATGTACTACTACACTCAAATATCAATTTATTATTTTAGAGTGCATATAACTAAAGATATTGCTATAAAATACTGATCTAAAAATAGCACAAGTAAACAATACACAAATGTTAAAAGGGGTGTCATGTAATAGAATTTGATTTCTGAATGTAATTGTTGTATTATTAATTAACAGGTATAGATTCCCGATATTTTGACCTGTATGACCCTCCTTCAGATGTTGTGTGTGTAGATTTAGATACTATCACAATAAGTTTGTAAGTATATAAAGTAATTAATAAAAAACAAATATGAACAGTTTTTTTGTTATAAACAATTAGAACTTTCTTTTTAGGGCTATTCCAGAAAATACTATGTCCCCCCCAGGGAATGCAATTTTTTAAAATTTTATGTGGGTGGTTGTATTTGAAATACCAAAATGCAGAGGGAGTGTTGTTCTTATTTATTTTTATTTCTGTGGGTGGTGGGGGTTTAAAAAAAGTGCCGATCCTGGAGGGGACATAGTATTTTCTGGAACAGCCCTTAATAATAATGCAGTTTAAAAGTCATTTAATTTAATGCTTTATTTATTTAAAGAGGATTGCCAACAGCCAGAGGCTACGTGTGGGTCTCCTCAAAAATAAATATATGCAGATTCACAATTACCAAAGTGTTTTTATGCCTCACCTAGGGGCTTTATGTTTTTCGGTTTGTGCATCCGTTCATCCGTCTGTCCTGCTTCAGGTTTAAGTTTTTGGTCAAGGTAGTTTTTGATGAATTGAAGTCCAATCAACTTGAAACTTAGTACACATGTTCCCTATGATAGGATCTTTCTAATTTTAATGCCAAATGAGAGTTTTGACCCCAAATTCACGGTCCACTTAACATAGAAAATGATAGTGCGAGTGGCGCATCCGTGTACTATGGACACATTCTTGTTTTTTGTGTTTTTATTTTATTTAATTAGACATTAAGATGACTGTTTTGACATTTTACAGACCTGATGACAAAAAGAACATTAACTACAGAAATCTACCAAAGGTATGTTCAGGTTAGATAAAAAGATAAGAATATCATAAAACCATGGCAACATCCACTTCTGTTACATGGCTAGCACATGAGCAAATAAGTGTCAAAATGTGAGAAAAAAATAATACTCATTTTACAAATCCAGATTGCCTAAGTTTATGTTAATTTTACAGTTCACTTTGCCAATAACCATACAACCAAACATTAAGTTCATTCTTCTTTGTACACACTCAAATATGCTGTAACAAATCCAAATTGTCTATGGTGATCACTGATGAGAATTTACAGAAATATCCTTTATTTGTTAAAACAATATAAAACAAAAAAATTAGATATGAAATGTTATTTGTGAAAAGAAAAAAATAATCTACTGAATTATTATTAATAAATTTGATGCAGTATAATCACTGTTGACTAATTTTCAGAAACCAGCTCGTGTTTTACAAGAGACATTGCATAAATTATTTGATGAGTTATGTACAACTCGTGTTGGTACTCAGATGGTAGATGAAATCACTCTAGAACTTGCTCCCATGGAACATGACTTCAGAATGAAAAGGAAAGAGGTATATATACTTTGTATCTTTTTTGAATTGAATTAGAAAGCTGCATTGGGAATAAAAGATAGCTCTCTGTGAAATAGAAGTAAGAAACAAAAAAATTTTATAACTATAATTTATTGATTTGAATAGTTTTAAAGGATGTATCATTATTGTTTTCAGTACTATAGTTTGTTAAATATGTTTTAGATGTTTCTGCTTTAATTCAAATTTTTTTCTTTCATCTTTTTGCAGACATTAATGGAGTTACGTATACAAGAAGCTTTTCTACGTTTCCAAGCTTGTGTGTTGAAAGGCTACAGGAGTTACCTAAAACCAATTACAAGAGCCCCTACCCTGGGAACAACTGATGTTACCTCTTTGTTTGACATGCAAGGTGGGATTTTAGTGAAAAAATAGAAAACATTACGCCACACATGTTTTAATATTATTGTCATTGAATTGTCATTAAGGCATGCATGAGCAGCCACATAGAAAAATTAAAAGTAGTTGGCAAAGATGAAGAAAAAAAAATGTTCATTATGAAATTTAAGAGTTTTATTTTTATGGTTATCATACTAGTAATAGCATTCAGTTTTGATGTGAAAATCTGGAAATTTTTTTAAATTATATACCAGGGAAAAAAGATAACTTGATTTCATCTCATACATGTTTGAATTTCACATCTTTTGTAACTTTTAATTTCAGGTTTTCTAAAGAGTCGAGACAAAGCAAATTCCAAGTTTTACCAGAATTTAACCAAAACACAGACATTTATCAGATTTCTAGAAGAGAGATCTTTTGTCTCTGACAATGATGCTAGCTTAGCATTTTTTGATGAATGTACAGAAAAGGTGTGTGTGTGTGTGTGTAATTATATTACATATTTGTGGTTTTATAAACGAAAGTTTACATAAAAAGCTACAAGATATAAAACAAGAGCAAAAACGAAGAAACTTTACATAAAAAGCTACAAGACATAAAACAAGAGCAAAAACAAATCAATATTTAAAAAAAAAAATAACGAAGGTCTTTGATTTAATTCAGCCACCTTGACTTTGATATTGATTAGTATGGAATGAGAACAGAACACAACATGTTATGAACAACTGTAGACAATTGCTTTGGTTCTTATTTTGTCTTTGTCTGACAAATTTATAAAGATTATTTCACATGTTTTTGTATTTACAGGTAAATGAAACACTAGATGAACCCAAGTTGATAGAATTAGATCAGTCACACAGGTAATCAGAGTTCTTAAAATTTTTTTTTTTCTGGTGGTCATTGGGACCACCAAGACTAAAAATCTGGAGGTCCTTGAGAAAATCTGGTTGTCCTGTAATTTTCTTGAATTTATCAAACACCTATTAGTTACATGTAAGTCATTGCTCAATACTATATTAACTCCATCCTAGTTCTATGTTATATATTTGGTTGTTTTCAATTAAATTTTGAACTCTACATTGTTCACTAATTTTTATACTTTGTCAGTTTGATTACATGTTTGTTTTAAGTCTCCTGCATTATACTTCAATCATTTACAGTGAAAAGTGCATTAGAAATAAAAGACTAAGTCTGATGTTTTTTCACCTCTCTGTTATCATTATCTTTTGTTTGCACTCTTTTAACACCGGGTTTAGCACCATCTTTGAACGAGATGGGCTATGTGGCAGCTATGATAACTTTTACGACTGGTTATTATACGACCGCAAAACAATTTTGTGGTCGTATATTGGTATGACGTTGGCTTCGTCGGTGTCGTCGTCCGAAGACACATTGGTTTTTGCACTCTAACTTTAGTTTAAGTAAATGGATCTCTTTGAAATTTGACCATAAGGTTAAATACTACAAAAGGAAGGTTGGGATTGATTTTGGGGGTTATGGTACCAACAGTTAAGGAATTAGGGGCCAAAAAGGGGCCAAAAATAAGCATTTTCTAGTTTCCAGACAATAACTGTGGAACGGTGTATGGATCTCTCTGAAATTATACTACAAGTTTCCATACCACAAAGGGATTGTTAGGATTTGCTTTGGGGGGTTATGGCTAAAACCGTTTAGGAATTAGGGGCAAAAAAGGGGGAAAAACAAGGTTGTCCTGGTTAATGGACAAATACTTTAGTACAAAACATAATTTAAAGCAGTGTAAGGGAGATAAATCAAATACATCATTGAAATTATCTCCCTTACACTGCTTTTAAATTATGTATAAAGTAATGGTTAATGAACAATAAAGATAATTTAAAACAGTGTAAGGGAGGTAATCCAAATACAACGTTTTGATTACTTCCCTTACACTGCTTTTAAATTATGTTTAAAGAAATGCATATTTATAAAGGAAGACCAGTAAAAATATCTGCAAATGTTGCATCTTTTTTTTTTACAAAAAATACCATATGAAAGATTTGACACTATATTTTTGTCGAGCCTGCGACTTTTGTCGCAGAAAGCTCGACATAGGGATAGTGATCCGGCGGCGGCGGCGGCGTTAGCTAACTTCTTAAAAGCTTTATATTTTAGAAGGTGGAAGGTCTGGATGCTTCATACTTTGTATATGGATGCCTCATGTTACGAAGTTTCTGTCAGTCACATGTCCAATGTCCTTGACCTCATTTTCATGGTTCAGTGATTACTTGAAAAAAAAGTTCAGATTTTTTGTAATGTTAGATTCTCTCTTATTATAAGTAATAGGATAACTCTATTTGATATGTGCGTACCTTGCAAGGTCCTCATGCCCGTCAGACAGTTTTCACTTGACCTCGACCTCATTTCATGGATCAGTGAACAAGGTTAAGTTTTGGTGGTCAAGTCCATATCTCAGATACTATAAGCAATAGGTCTAGTATATTCGGTGTATGGAAGGACTGTAAGGTGTACATGTCCAACTGGCAGGTGTCATCTGACCTTGACCTCATTTTCATGGTTCAGTGGTTATAGTTAAGTTTTTGTGTTTTGGTCTGTTTTTCCTATACTGTATGCCATAGGTCTACTATATTTGGTGTATGGAATGATTGTAAGGTGTACATGTCTAGCGGGCAGGTGTCATCTAACCTTGACCTCATTTTCATGGTTCAGTGGTCAAAGTTAAGTTTTTGTGTTTTGGTCTTTTTTTCTAATACTATATGCAATAGTTCAACTATATTTGGTATGTGCGTACCTTGCAAGGTCCTCATGCCCGTCAGACAGTTTTCACTTGACCTTGACCTCATTTCATGGATCAGTGAACAAGGTTAAGTTTTGGTGGTCAAGTCCATATCTCAGATACTATAAGCAATAGGTCTAGTATATTCGGTGTATGGAAGGACTGTAAGGTGTACATGTCCAACTGGCAGGTGTCATCTGACCTTGACCTCATTTTCATGGTTCAGTGGTTATAGTTAAGTTTTTGTGTTTTGGTCTGTTTTTCTTATACTGTATGCAATAGGCCTACTATAGTTGGTGTATGGAATGATTGTAAGGTGTACATGTCTAGCGGGCAGGTGTCATCTGACCTTGACCTCATTTTCATGGTTCAGTGGTCAAAGTTTATTTTTTGAGTTTTGGTCTTTTTTTCTAATACTATATGCAATAGTTCAACTTTATTTGGTGTATGGAAATATTTTATGATCTATTTGTCAGTCACACAGTTTTTTTTTTACCTTGACCTCATTTTCAAGGTTCATTGCTCAGTGTTAAGTTTTTGTGTTTTGGTCTGTTTTTCTTAAACTAAAAGCAATAGGTCAACTATATTTGTTGTATGGAAGAACTGTTAGCTGTACATGCCTGCCTAGCATGGTTCATCTGACCTTGACCTCATTTTCAAGGTTCATTGGTCAATGTTTAGTTAACTTGGTTAATGATAAGTTTATGTGACAGTTGTAATAAAGCTTTATATTTAGGACTATCAACATAATATCAATGATAAGTAAAGAAGGCGAGACATTTCAGTGTGTGCACTCTTGTTAATTCTATTATAAAATAGATTAAGTTAGCACTATGGTAAATTTAAATGGGTAATTATGGTTGCCAACTCCATTGGAAATTTGAATTGAGATTATGACCATATCTTGAGGGAAAGAATTTTTTTGGGGAAAAAAGGGGGGGGGGGGGATAAAAAGAAATTGTGGGGGGTCAATTTTTCTCATTTCAGATTTCAGAAATTAAAAAAATTATTCTTCAAATATTATTTTTTTTCAAATTTCAAATATTGAAAAATTTCAAGAAGAAATCTTTAATTGCACAGTATGGCGCATTAGATTTGTAAAATCTTTGATCACATTTATTTATTTGTTATGCCGATTCCAACAGTGTATTTAGATTTTTAATTTTGGGTCCAGTTTTCAAATTGGTCTACATTAAGGTCCAAAGGGTCCAAAATTAAACTTTGTTTGATTTTAGCAAAAATTGAATATATGAGGTTCTTTGATATGCTGAATCTAAACATGTATTTAGATTTTTGATTTTTGGCCCAGTTTTCAAGTTGGTCCAAATCGGGGTCATAAATTAAACTTTGTTTGATTTTAACAAAAATTGAATTCTTAGGGTTCTTTGATATGCTGAATCTACCATGTATTTAGATTTTTTATTTGTGGACCCCGTTATCAAATTGGTTCATATTGAGGTCAAAAGGGTCCAAAATTAAACTTTGTTTGATTTCATCTAAAATTGAATTATTGGGGTTCTTTGATATTCCAAATCTAACCGTGTATTTAGATTTTTAATTTTGGGTCCTGTTTTTTAAATTGGTCTACATTAAGGTCCAAAGGGTCCAAAATTAAACTTAGTTTGATTTTAACAAAAATTGAATTCTTGGGGTTCTTTGATATGCTGAATCTAAACATGTGTTTAGATTTTTTATTATGGGCCCAGTTTTCAAGTTGGTCCAAGATAGGGTCCAGTATTTAAACTTTGTTTGATTTCAACAAAAATTGAATATATGGGGTTCTTTGATATGCTGAATCTAAACATGTATTTAGATTTTTGATTATGGGTCCAGTTTTCAAGTTGGTCCAAATTGGGGTCCAAAATTAAACTTTGTTTGATTTCAACAAAAATTGAATATATGAGGTTCTTTGATATGCTGAATCTAACCATGTATTTAGATTTTTTATTTGTAGGCCCCGCTATCAAATTGGTTCATATTGAGGTCAAAAGGGTCCAAAATTAAACTTTGTTTGATTTCATCAAAAATTGAATTATTGGGGTTCTTTGATATTCCAAATATAACCATGTTTTTAGATTTTTAATTTGGGTCCCGTTTTTTAAATTGGTCTTCATTGAGGTCCAAAGGGTCCAAAATTAAACTTAGTTTGATTTTAACAAAAATTGAATTCTTGGGGTTCTTTGATATGCTGAATCTAAACATGTGTTTAGATTTTTGATTATGGGCCTAGTTTTCAAGTTGGTCCAAGTTGGGGTCCAAAATTAAACTTTTTTGATTTCAACAAAAATTGAATATATGGGGTTCTTTGATATGCTGAATCTAACCATGAATTTAGATTTTTATTTGTGGGCCCCGCTATCAAATTGGTTCATATTGAGGTCAAAGTCCAAAATTAAACTTTGTTTGATTTCATCAAAAATTGAATTATTGGGGTTCTTTGATATTCCAAATCTAACCGTGTATTTAGATTTTTAATTTTAAGTCCCGTTTTTTAAATTGGTCTACATTAAGGTCCAAAGGGTCCAAAATTAAACTTAGTTTGATTTTAGCAAAAATTGAATTCTTGGGGTTATTTGATATGCTGAATCTAAACATGTGTTTAGATTTTTGATTATGGGCCCAGTTTTCAAGTTTGTCCAAGTTGGGGTCCAAAATTAAACTTTGTTTGATTTTAACAAAAATTGAATATATGGGGTTCTTTGATATGCTGAATCTAACCATGTATTTTGATTTTGGACATTGGGCCATAATAGGTAAATTAAAAAAATTCAAGTTCTTAGACCACATTCTTTCTGTGTCAGAAACCTATGCTGTGTCAAATATTTAATAACAATCCAAATTCAGAGCTGTATCAAGCTTGAATGTTGTGTCCATACTTGCCCCAACTGTTCAGGGTTCGACCTCTGCGGTTGTATCAAGCTGCGCCCCAGCGAAGCATTTTATTTTCAAAAGTATTACCGTAATTTTGAGCTATGCTACAAAAGTTAAATTACAGTATTTACCAGTTCAAAAACTATCTGAATACCAAAGAAACCGACGACTGGTTTCTTTTTCAAAAGTATTATCGTAATTTTGAGCTATGCAATTAAACTTTGTTTACATTAGTAACCAGTTCAAAAGCTATCTGAATACCGAAAAGATGTTAAATAAAAGTGAACAACCACCAAAATTTTGTCAGTCATCAGGACTGCCACTACACATGCATTTGTCAGTCCTAGCCGATTTTTGGTGGTCAGGACCGATGGGACTGACGGTTTTTCGAGAACTCTGGGTAATTATAATATTTGAAGATGAAGAAAAGTGATATGATTTTTGAAAGAAAAAGCTAACTTGTTTGATATATTGTTATTCATTTGAATGGCTAAACTATTATAAAATTTACGAGGAAAATTTGTACTGTTTGATTGCGTATTCAACATATGATGCAGTTGAGATGTAAGATAAAAGAAACAAATACATCTACTTGTCATGTTTATTCTAGCAAACACAATTATTTTAAAATCGAGATCAACTGCAATTTTTATCACATTGCAATATAGCCATCATAGAAATCAGCAGTCAGTAAAAAAAAAATCTCTTTGTGATAAATTTGATAGCCAGCTATATAACATCATACTCAAATACCTTTTTAATCAGAACCCATTTGGGTAAGAAAAAAGTTTATTTGGACGAAACAGGAGTTAGTTTTTACAAGTTAAAAATGTCAAAAAGTATATACTGTTTGTCTTGAGGGGGGTTTGGTTTGGAAAGGTTTCATTAATAAATCTGCTCTTAAAATATACTGCTACTTTATTTTCTTACAGTGAAAGAACAGTTTATATAATGCCTCCAGAACCAGTAGGCTTACCCGAGGGGGCTAAGTACAGGTAATTTTACATTATATTGAATAACAGAAGTTACAAACATTACATATTGAACAGTTTGGAACAATGACCAGTTTAGTGAAATTTCTGTTTTTGGCTGAATTCAAATAGCACATCTTTTTGGTTTGAAAAAACATCAAATTCTTTTTAATAATAAGATATTTACTGTAAACCTGGAAATTTTTGCCTGTAGAATATAGAAAAAGCTAAAAAATACAAACATTTAGAAAACCATAGTTATATCACAGGATTTGTTAGAAAACTTGACATGAAACACAGAATGAAAAGGGCAAATTATTTAAATGGGCAGAAGAACAATTTTGATAAACCTACAGGACAAAAGAGATAAGTATTGATGTATTAACACTATTTATTAAAAATCTTTTACAGCTTTTTTTTAAATCAATAAGTAAAAAGTTTATTACTTTACATGTAAACACTTGCAAAGTATGGTTACTATATCATTACTGGTTATGTTTCAGCTACAATGGTTTCCCAACCTTAAAAACAGAGTTGTTCTTAAGAAAGAAGGAATCAGAATTATCATTGCCATCTAAAGGTCCTCTATGTCCAAACAGTCCAATATCCAGAAGGTCTAAGCAAGAAATCAGGTCATCTCAGAAGGTGAGACATTTCACACTGCACTAATTGTATTTCTGTAAGCATCTTTACTTAAGTATCAGGACTTAAGACAATTAATAACTTTTAACCATAGCTTTCTGCTGTCATTCATCTATTATATAGAGTAGCTATTCAGTTCTAAGATGATTAGTGTCAATGTAGAGTCTGGAAACACATCTTGAGCAATTGTTAATTCAAAAGCTGGTAGTATAAAAATGTTAATATGTACCGGTATGCTATTTTCTCAAAAAACAGTTATGAAATGTTTTTGTTTAGAAAGATCATTTCACTCTGACCTTTAATCTCAAGACCTCAAAAATAAAAATGTATACTTATGAAAATAGAAAATAAGAACTTAAAGTTGATCTTAATTTTATAGTCTTAAGTCAGTTACCTGAAATGAAAGGATACCATGTACAGTTATTGAGCTGTTGTTGGTTACTTTACAGTTTAAAACTGTTACATGAGTTGGGATTTTGTATTTTTTATACGACCGCAAAAAAAATTTTGTGGTCGTATATTGGTATGACGTTGGCGTCGTCGTTGTCGTTGTCGTCGTCGTCCGAAGACACATTGGTTTTCGCACTCTAACTTTAGTTTAAGTGAATGGATCTCTATGAAATTTTACCACAAGGTTCAATACCACAAAAGGAAGGTTGGGATTGATTTTGGGGGTTATGGTACCAACAGTAAAGGAATTAGGGGCCAAAAGGGGCCAAAAATAAGCATTTTTGTAACTTCCAGACATAACTTGTGTGTTAGTGTATGGATCTCTCTGACATTGTACCACAAGGTTCCATATCACAAAAGGAATGCTGGGATTGATTTTGGGGGTAATTGCCTCAAAATTTTAGGAATTAGGGGCAAAAAAGGGGCAAAAAACAAGCATTTTTCTAGTTTCAGGACAATAACTTGTGTGCAAGTGTATGGATCTTTCTGAAATTGTACTACAAGGTTCCATATCACAAAGGGAAAGCTTGGTTTGAGTTTGGGGGTAATTGCCTTAAACGTTTAGGAATTTGGGGCCAAAAAGGGGCCAAAAAAACACATTTTTCTCGTTTCCAGACAATAACTTGTGTTCAAGAGTATGGATCTCTCTGAAATTGTACTGCAAGGAACCATACCACAAAGGGAAGGCTGGGATTGAGTTTGGGGGTGATGAATCATAAGGGGGTTCAAAAAATTTGGGGGGGATTTTTTTTTTTTTCCTTTTTTTTTTCTTTTAAAATTTTCCATTTTAAGTTGGTTATTTCTGATTTATATTTAAAAGCAAATAATAATGATATGGTAGGAGATACACACCAAACAGGATGTGTAAGTTTTTATATAATAAGTATTGTGCAATAGTAAGAAATTTTCAATTGCACAGTATTGCACAATAGCAAGAAATCTTAAATTGCACAGTATTGTGCAATAGCAAGAAATCTTCAATTGCACAGTATTGTGCAATAGCAAGAAATATCCAATAGCACAATATTGCGCAATAGCAAGAAATTGTCAATTGTACAGTATTGCGCAATAGCAAGAAATATTCAATTGCACAGTATTGTGCAAAAGAAGATACTTCCTATAAATTGCTTATTTCTTGACCAATTTCAATGTGGTTTTATTCTTGAATTCTTGGGGTTCTTTAATATGCTGAATCTAACTGTGTATTAAGTTTTTGGATTTTGGGCCCCGTTTTTAAATTGGTCCACATTGAGGTCCAAAGGGTCCAAAATTAAACTTTGTTTGATTTCATCAAAAATTGAATTATTGGGGTTCTTTGATATGCCGAATCTAACCGTGTATTTAGATTCTTAATTTTTGGTTCCGTTCTCAAATTGGTCTACATTAAGGTCCAACGGGTCCAAAATTAAACTTAGTTTGATTTTTAAAAAAATTGAATATATGGGGTTCTTTGATATGCTGAATCTAAACATGTATTTAGATTTTTGATTATGGGCCCAGTTTTCAAGTTGGTCCAAATTGGGGTCCAAAATTAAACTTTGTTTGATTTCAACAAAAATTGAATATATGGGGTTCTTTGATATGCTGAATCTAACCATGTATTTAGATTTTTGATTTTTGGGCCCCGTTATCAACTTTGTCCACATTGAGGTCAAAAGGGTCCACAATTAAACTTTGTTTGATTTCATCAAAAATTGAATTCTTGGGGTTCTTTGATATGCTGAATCTAACCATGTATTTAGATTTTGGATATTGGACCATAATAGGTGAATGTCCAATTTAAAATTATTAAGTTCTTAGACCACATTCATTCTGTGTCAGAAACCTATGCTGTGTCAAATATTTAATCACAATCCAAATTCAAAGCTGTATCAAGCTTGAATGTTGTGTCCATACTTGCCCCAACTGTTCAGGGTTCGACCTCTGCGGTCGTATCAAGCTGCGCCCTGCGGAGCATTTTATTAAATTATTGGAAATGTACATAATTTATTTATGAAATACTTGACAGCTAATCAGTGTTCTGTTGTTTTTCAGATGGCACAACAATATGCAACAAATGCTATGTTGTGGGCAAAGTAAGTAAATATGATCATTCTCAACAGCTTATGGGTTAAAGATAATAATAATCATTAAATGACAATTGTATCAATAGTGCAGACAAATAGAGAAATCAAACTTTGCATGAACAAAGACTATTTGTTTTATGATAAACACTGAGAAATTTATTGGACTGAAATATATTGCTGTAATAATAACAATATAGTTGACAATCAGTAAATATGAGTATCTGAAATGATAGGCCAATGTCATTCTTTCTTACAATACTTATAATATTTTTTGTTGGCATTTTTCTATTAATTTCAGTGTCACAGTTTATGATTTTTGCTCTCACCAATAAACATGGATATGCTATATATTTATTTTAACAGATGCTTGTTGAGTCATTGTTACAGCTTATGGTTTATACACTTACCTGCCTTTTTGGAGATGAGTGACTCAACAGACAATGCCATGAAAGTAGCCTATGATGTTCTACAGAAAATGCAGTTAGCAAAACTTCAACCACCAGACGAGGTCTGTATAAACATGTATCTTGTTGTCTTTTGAAATTGATATGTTATATGATCTACCAGCACTTTAGATCAAGCAGTTTTCCGACAATCAGATTTAGACAAAAACAAATACTTTAAAACCAGACATTTGAATAAATATGTGAAAATCAAAGCTTTTTAATGTTTTTATGATGTTGTTTTATCTGAATATACACTATACACTGATGTTTGTATGTTTGTAGGTGTGTTATAGAGTAATGTTACAGCTGTGTGGCCAGCATAGGATTTATATGAAACACATTTGCTTGTTTATTTGTAGGTGTGTTATAGAGTAATGTTACAGCTTTGTGGCCAACATAACATGCCAGTGATGGCTGTTAAAGTCTTGTATCAGATGAAGAGGGCTGGTGTACAACCTAATGCTATAACATATGGATATTACAATAAAGTTAGTCATTATGTTTTGTTATGGCCAGAAATTACCTTTAAATTGTAGCTAACAAAAGACAAAATCATCAATAAATATAACAAGTTTTATTATGATACAATTTTACAAGAAATATTATACAATTTGAAATGTCAACTTAACTGTTAAAATATCTGAATGTCCGATTCTAGTCTTTTCTTTATCCGGAATTCTTCTCTTGACTGTTGCATAATCCAACGGAATATTATGTCCAATAAGTTCACAAACTAATATGATGTTGTAGAATTGACCAATAAACAACTCCAGAGATCCTTTGAGAATACTTTTATATTTCTGTCCAAGTCTAACTTTGGTGTCTGTATATATAGTTACAATGGAAATTTCTCGAACACTGTAGAAGGGAAACTTGTAGAAATCTGTAGAAGGGAAACTTCTAGAATATAGTAGAAGTTTAAATTATATTATAATCATTCTGGAATTATGCAAGTCAAATAGAAAGTTCTAATCATTCCATCAGTATCTACGATTGTTCCAGTGATTTCTAAACTGCACAATTATACATTATTTTGTAAACAACTATAAATAAGTCACAACTCAATTATTTAAACATCTTATAAGGCCACACAAAACAAATTAGGCCAAGATAAATAATCATAATAACTACAATCTCATAACACCTTACTTTAATGGCTTAAAATTTCTAGTGAAGTACAGCAATCAAATTACTGCAATTTTTTTAATTGCTGTATTACGAATAGATAACAGAACACTCAACCATCGGCTTCTTACTCCATAATGTCAAATAGTATTATTATTGATAAAATTAAAGGTGCTTAAATTGAGGCTTTAATTGAAAAAATATCTGGCAGATCAAGTTCTAAAATGAATAGTTGCACAAAATAATTGTAGTTTAATGTATAAGGATGATAGGCTGTTACACATAGATATTGTCTTTATTGTTATGGAAAGGATCATTTTGAAATAACTAAGTGATATTGTATTATTAAACAAATTTTATTTTGACAATAAGATAAACAAGAATGAAATCTTATCTTTTAGCTGTGCCTCATCTTGTTGATTGAGATTAAGACAACATTTAGATACTCATAACCTACAACAGATTCATCACAAGATTATTTGATATTCATATGGAATTGTGTTAAATTTTTAAAATAAATCATTGAAATTAATTGGCTTTGTTTTCTTACAAAAGTTGTTTTTATTTATCAAGTTTAAAACACAAGTTATTTTGACAACAGTAAGGCCACATGTATATATTAAGTTGAAATACTGTTTGATTTTTCCAGGCTGTTTTTGAAGGTACATGGCCAACAACTAGAAGTAAAGCTTCTGTCATGTGGAAAAAGATCAGAAATGTCATCATAGGTGTTGCACAGTTTCGTCGTGGAATTCGTCGGAGAAGTGTTTCAATCTGTTCATATGACAGCGAATATGATGGTACAAGTTTAGATAGTTTTCCAGAAGATCATCAACATGATGAAAAAATATCAATTTTAAGAAAGGAAGTACCCCTTGATGCAGTTAAAGTTCATGAAGAGAATGACCTTGTCAGGTCACAGAGTAACAAGGAGGAAAGTGCTAGTACTGGTAATGTCATTGTTAACTTATCTTGCTTTGCTCAGGTGTCTTAAATCTGGAATATTAAGTCTATTATAAATTAGAATATGCTTGACCTTACAATTATCAGTTGGATTTACTATTTCACCATTGATATGATATTGAAAAAGAGTTTGATAAATTAGGAGTTAAAGTATGATTGCAAATGAGACAACTATCCAACAGAGTCTAAATGAAGTTGATTTAAGCAATCTTTAACTGCCTTTAACAATGAGCAAAACCTATACCTTATAGTCAGTTATAAAAGGCCTGGACAGAAACAATTCAAAGAAAAATACCAACAACCTGATTAATGACAAAACAATAAAGAAAAAACATAAACGACAGACAGCAACAAACGACAACCACTCAGTGATAGCTCTGGATAGCACTATGGTAAGCATGGTCACAAATTATAGATTCTTCTACATGTATATAAGAATAAAGAAATACTGTGCATTTCAGTATTTCCATAATTTATTATTAATTCATCTCTTTGAAAATATATTCAATGTGATGTATCTTTATATACAGTTTTACATAATGACTTACAATATATACCAGGAAAAAGTGCATGATCCATTTGTGTACATCATTTGAATAAATATAAAATGATAAAGATAGAAAATGCATCTGATCAGAAAGTTAGCAAAACCCATACTGTATAGTAAGTTAAAAAAAAAGTACTTTCATGACAAAATGTGAAACAATTCAAAAGAGAAAATTACAGCTTGACTTCTACTAGAAACAATATGTACATAATAAAGTCTTATATTTGTATTTGATCTTGGTTTTAGGTGGAATATCAGACAGAGGATACAGCTCTATGACTCATGAGGAACTCAAAACCATAACTGAGGTAAACAACCAGGAGGAGATAACTCAACCTCCAGAAAAGGTCAAGAAAGAGGTTAAGGGATCATTGAGGTTCAACATACCAAAGAAACAGAAAAATAGCACCAACAATAACGATGGTTTGTGCATAATATATGTTAGGGCTATTCCATTAAAATGTATGTGGGAGGGTAGGAAGGGACTTTCAAAATATCCCTACAACCAAGAACCATTTTTTAAATAATTTTGCATAATGGTAATAGAGGCATACTGAAAAAAGACCCATGACCCACATTCAATAATTAAACTTCCCTTCCTACCCTCCCACGTACATTTTAATGGAATAGCCCTTAATTATTTTCTCCTATGATTTGCCATGTGAAATACATTATTTCTAAAATTTAAATAAAAATTTGTTTGTAGTAGCATCTACTTTCAAATTATGTGCCTTATTTTATTCATAAAGAGAAAGGATTACACATTGACCATTGTGTTTGTGTTCTTATACAATGTAAAATGTAATAGTTTACTGACTTTTCTATTTCATGATTTATTTTGTGTATGACAATTACATACACAAAAAAACATTTGATCCAATTTGGTATATATATGATTCATTGATCTTTTAAAGAAAGGGAAGAAGATGATGAAATGAAATTTCCAGCAGCTGATCACAACCCATCCGAAGAATTCCGACAAAGAATGGGAAGTATAGTAAGGAAATCTCTAGGAAGTGTTAGTAGTTCTGGTAGTAAAGAAACATTGATAGGCAGTACAGGTAATTAGTAATTCAGTGACACTATTCACTTCTTCAGAATGTTTTCAATAGTGACTATGAGTTATTTTGTTTGTCATACAGCAAAAAACATCATCAGCTGAATAATCATTTTTCAAAACAGCCTCATCGATTTTTTTATACGTCGGCAAAAATATTGGTATCACGTCATAGTCCGAAGACATTTGGTTTCCAGACAATAACTTAAGTAAATGTAAATAGAAATCTATGAAATTTAAACACAAGGTTAATAACCACAAAAGGAAGGTTGGGATTGATTTTTGGGGTTATAGTCATAACAGTTTAGGAATTAGGGGCCAAAAAGGGGCCCAAATAAGCATTTTTCTAGTTTCCAGACAATAACTTGTGGAACGGTGTATGGATCTCTCTGAAATTATACCACAAGTTTCCATACCACAACGGGATGGTTAGAATTGGCTTTTAGGGGTAATGGCTCAAACCGTTTAGGAATTAGGGGCAAAAAAAGGGGAAAACAAGGGTTTCCTGGTTAATGGACAATTAAAAAAAGTACAATGTTATGTTTGAATTACCTTCCTTACACTGCTTTTAAATTATGTATAAAAAAATGGTATTGTCTTGAGGTGATTAGCTGTAATTTATTTTTAACTGGATTTTCGAAGGAAATATCGGTTATTAAATTGGGGATGTACGGCGGGCGGACGGGCGGCTGCCAAACTGTCTCCACAATAACATGAACACGCTTTTAACAAATTATTTTCAAATTTAAATATGTTGTTTCCTGGGACTTAATGAAGATCTAGTTCAATTTTAAAGATTTTAGTATTTCTCCTTTTTGAGTTATCACCATTTTTAATATCCAAAATTGGTATTTTTAAATATTTTTCTCTCTTGTCATCATATTATGACTAAGGTAAAGCATATGGTAAAAGTCTTATCTCACAATTATAATTGGAGTGACAGATTTATTTGAAAAAATTTCTGTTTCCTGATAAGATCTGTAGGACTGTATATATAAAGTTTGAAATTTACTAGTAGGACTGTATAAATGAAGGTTGAAATTTACTGTTCATTATTAGACACTTTGAAGATAATTACAGATAAGTTTTATAGGTTTTTAAGAGATAGACATTTTGAAGTTAATTACATTACTAATAATTATATACCTAATGTTAGAGTACTTTGTTAAAAGGTTAAACCATAGTTCTGTTCAAGGGGAAATGACCTTTCAATTTACAAGCATGATTCATTAGATAATAATTTATTATTTATAAGTTAAAAAGTTAAAATTAAGATAAGATAAGTTGCAGATCTATATTAGTATGTTACAGATGAAAGAAAAAATATTGGGAACTATCAACTATATATATATATAAAGTTTGATTTTGATTTATACACTAAGTGATAAGATAACAGTCACATCTGGTAATTTTCAATGCAATCGCCCAATTATAATTGGAGTGACAGATTTATTAGAAAACTATTATTTATATTTGATTATAATTCAAAAATAAATATAGCATCATATCTCTTTACATCATATCTAATTTTAGAGTCTATGGTTAAATCATATTTAATTTTAGATTCACATGATTAGTTCATGGAAATAAAGTTTAAGTTATTTCCATTTAAACAGAAATGGTTTAACTAAGAAGTATTTCATCAAAAATTGAATTCTTGGGGTTCTCTGATATGCTGATTCTAGCAATGTACTTAGCATTTGGATATTGGACCATAATAGGTGAATGTTCAATTTCAAATTTTTCAGTTCTTTGACCACATTTATTTTGTGTCACAAACCCATGCTGTATTAAACATTCAATCACAATCCAAATTCAGAGCTTAAATGTTGTGTCCATACTTGCTCAACTGTTCAGGGTTTGACCTCTGCAGGAAAATCTGGTTTGCTGTCACTCTGACAGCCTCTTGTTAGAAGTTACTATTTAAAAATGCTGATTAAGGAATATTAATTTTTGCCATGATTATGTATGTCATTTTCTATTTTAAGACTTTTATGATGTATTTAAATGGGTAATTATGGTTGCAAACAAAATTCCATTGGAAATTTGAATTGAGATTATGACCATATCTTGAGGGAAAGAATTTTTTTTTGGAAAAAGGGGGGGGGGGGGGTATAAAAGAAATTGTGAGTCGATTTGCAACATTGCAACAGCATAGTGTATTGCACAAAAGGAAAAAAAAAGGGGGGTAAATTTGTTTTTGTTTTTTTTGTGGGGGGGGGGGGGGGGGGGTCAATGTGCAACAGCATAGTGTATTGCACAAAAGCAAAATTTGATTATAAATTATCAAAAGTTTATATACATGTAAGTACATCCCAAAATTAGTTTCCGTTCTCTAACTTGAGTTTGCCTCAACTAAATGTTATGAAACTTATACACAATGCTTATTACCACATAACACAGATCAAGTTTGAATTTGGGTGGTGTCACTTTTACCTTTCTAGATTTGTGCCCCTTTACAAGTGGAAAATTGCTGAATTTTATTGTTTCCGTTCTCTAAAGTTTGCCTCTATTATGAAACTTGTACATACAATGCTTATTACAACAATACTTAGATCAAGTTTGAATTTGTTTGGCATCCAAGGGTCTGGAAATTTTTGAGATGACTTAAAAGTTCGGGCACTTTTTTCAAACTGTCAAAATTAATCACACTAGATGCATAGCATCAACAGAACGTATTTACTTTTTCATCGCATTTACATCATTATTTTTCTTACCGTTTTTCTAAAAACGTTCAAGAACAGTTTATGGAATGCAACAGTTTAAAATTAAAATGATTTTAATGACTCAAAATGGTAAATTTCTCAGACATCGCTAACGTTTCGTTCGATTTTGAACAGAAATAAAAACCCGAAGTTTCACGACAATACTAAAGTACGAGTAATTCTGGATTCATTTCCGGGATTCTATCTGTTTCACAAAATTACAGGAAATCACCAGATTTTTAATTTTATTAAGTTTAAAAGTGTTTGAATATAACACTAATAGTTGCACTCGTTTAATTTAGCATGAAATAATTTTGCGTTTTATGATTTAGTGTCTCATCTCCTAATGAAAACAATTCACTCATGCATATTACTTGGTAAATAAAGCACATGTTTGACTCGTGAAAGAAATACTTTTTTCTTCTTAAATTAAGTCAAGTTTTTAGTCCCCTACTGACGAAGTTTAAGGGGACTTTAGGTTTGCACACTGTCCGTCTAACTGTCTGTCTGTCTGTCTGTCTGTCTGTCTGTCTGTCTGTCCATCCGTCAGTCCAGCAAATCAGTTTTCCATGCTTTTTTTCTTCGTGCTTGAAGATATTGATTTGATATTTGGTATATAGTTTAACCATGACAAGTTACAGATCAAGTTAAAATTTGGTTCAGTTCGGATGATTTTGCTTGGACTTAGAAAATTCACTCAAATAATCTGTTTTCCACACTTTTTTTATACGCCTGTTTACGGGACATATTATTGTATACCTCTGTCCGTCTGTCTTTCCCTCTGTCCGTCCGTTGTCAACATGTCATACTCAAATCTCTTTCACCAATTTGCATGAAACTTTGTTGAATTGTTTATATCTATTGACGTGAGCTCCCTTTTGTTTTTTATAAATTTTAGATTTCTGTTTCTGAGTTATTGGGTTTTATTCATTAAAAAAAGGGGGATTTTCCAGTTTTCGGACAATAACTCAAGAATGCTTTCACCAACTTGCAAGAAATTGTGGTGAATTGTTTATATCTATTGACATGAGCTCCCTTTCGATTTTTATATATTTTAGATTTTACGTTTCCGAGTTACAGGGTTTTATTCATAAAAAAAGGGGAATTTTCCAGTTTTTAGATAAAAAATCAAAAATGCTTTCAGCACTTCTTATGAAACTTTGGTGAATTGTTTATATCTATTGATGTAAGCTCCGTTTAGAATTTTATAAATTTTTCATTTATCATTTCTGAGTTATGGGGTTTTATTCATTAAAAAAGGGGGGATTTTCCAGTTTTCGGACAATAACTCAAAAATGCTGTCAGCAATTCTCATGAAACTTTGGTGAATTGTATATATCTATTGATGTAAGCTCCCTTTACATTTTCATAAATTTCTAATATGACAATGAGAATTAATTGAACTTTATTTGTTTATAGTCTGACAACAGATTTACTAAGTATTACGCAACAGCACAGTGTATTGCACAATAGCAAGAAATCTTTAATTGAATATAAATTCAATTCATATGACCAATATCAAGTTCTTTGACTATATTTATTCAGAAACCTATAATATGTCAAATATTTAATACAATCCAAATTCAGACCTGTATCAAGCTTGAATATTGTGTCCATTTTTGCCCCAACTGTTCAGGGTTGGACCTCTGCGGGCGTATCCAGCTGCGCTCAGCGAAGCAGTTTATTTGTTATGCTTGAACATGTTGAAGATATTGATTTGATATTTGTTATAAAGTTTACACCATGTTAAGTTAAAGATCAAGTTAGCATTTTGTTCAAGTACAATGGATTTGTAACCGGAAGGGGACTATGTATTGCCATGCAATACTCTCAGAATGCTTGTTAATTTTTAGATCAGAATTGACGATTGTCTTTGTTTAAAAGTAATTAAATAATGAAAAATGTTGTTATTGATGGAATTTCAATTTCTTTAATAATATTATATCTGAGCTTGTGATCACTGTAAGGTGTGAATTAAAAACACAGGTAAAAAATGGTTTGCGATCACGAGACAATATTTCCCGGAGGCATTAATATGGTTATTAGGAGGGCCCTCAGGATTATCATACTATACTGGTGTGGCAGTTTTATGACGGGGAAATCAAAAAGAATTTCTAAAAAAGAAAAAAACAAGTGCAAAATGGCGATTAAGAAACCCAATCTCAATATAATGACCGAAACTATTTCTGTAAAAAAATAATTTTGTCCTGAATCTCAATCTGCCGTTTAGGACTTGACTGACAAATATGACCGTTTCCGGACCCTTGGTGGTGTCACTATTACCGTTCTAAAGTTATGCCTTTATAAATGGAAAAATGGAAAAATTGCTGAATGTTTCGTTTCCATTCTCTAACCTTAGTTTCCCTCAACCAAATGTTATGAAATTTATACACAATGCTTATTACGATAAAACACAGATCAAGTTAATATTTGGGTATAGTCACTTTTTACAGTTCTCTAGTTTGTCCCTCTATAACATCATGTGCAAGTGGGGCATCATCTGTGTCCCATGGACACGTCACCATTTATTTTCTGAAGAATCTAGAAAGATGAAGCTTTTAAAAGCATTAACATGTGATTAAATTGAGGACATTTCTTTTACAGTGTCAACATCTTCCGCAGGACTTCTAATGGTCAGCAATCAACATCTAGAAAATGAAGATTCTCTTCATAGTTTGGATAGAAATTTGCATAATAGTTTGAATTTAGGAAAAAGCAATAATTCACGAAAAAGACACAAAAGTGCTGGTGATTATCACACAAAATCTAGGTCTACAAATGGTGCATTTACAAACTGGAGACCTCGTCATGTTAGTGGTGACGATAAGATGCAAGTCAGATTATGTGATTTGACTACAAAAGAAGATGATTTATTCATTGAGGAATCAGATAAATTGGACGGTTCTTTTAATGATGAAAGTACTAATGTTGATGACACTAAAGACAGTGGTGTGGTGTTAGATACTGACGTGTCAAATGACAGATTAAGTAGGCCAACATCCATTCCTATTGACACGCCTACGAAGGATTCTATGTCACTTGAAAGTCCAATTTCTAGAAATTCAATCGGCACTCCTGTAACTGAGAATGATCCATTAGGCTTTTTTGATGATTCAAGAACAAATGAAGAGAACACAACAAAGACTAATTCCAATGTTAATGGCAAATATTCACTATCAGGGTCTCAACAGAACTCTGTTTCTTGTACACTGTTTATTGAGAATGATGCAAATGAGAAAGATGAACCAATGTTTACTATAGGGCAGGACAAATCAGAGTGCAATAAAACTGAGAGTCGAGGAGAGCGAACATTTAGTTTAGGTTCTGTTCATAGTTTAGATTGTGACTCACAGCCATTATCACCATTAGAAAGAGTAGGAAAACGTTTGAAAGATGTAGGAAGAACAAATTCTTCTCCAGGTAGTCTAGATAAGGAAGACAAAAGTGGAAAATCTAATTTGTGGCCTGTAAAAGGATATCTTTCTTCCTTACACTCTCCATCAAAAAAATCTAACGATTCATTAGATGGGACACCAGAATTAGAAGGTCATTCTGAATCTAGGTTTAAACGATTAGGAAGCTTCCGTAAACATAAGGAGCGATTAAGTGGTGCATTCAAGTTTGGTGCAGGTGCTTTAGCTAATAAATTCAGCGAGTTAAAACAGACGATTACAACTCCAACTAAGCTTGGATCTAACTCTTCGATTGATGTAACGGACGAATCACGAGGTATTGATGTTCCAAAACGCCATAGTATGAAGGATATTGATGGTGGTGTAAAATCAGTACCAAATAGACAAGGTTAGTGTACTGATAAGTATATAGTGGTATCAATGCTTCCAATTCTATGTTCAATGCTTCAATTTCATGTTACAGATAGAACATAGAATTCAATAATCACTTTGTGGTTTTAACACAAAAATATATATAACTATTTCTATCCAGGATATTCCAAAAATGCCATAACTCCTGAAATAGTTTTTTGTGTTTTTTTGTTATTTTTTGTATCTGACTTTCTAAATATATTTATAACAGTTTGTTGTTTTCTAAAAGTTAAAACTATGAAAATAACCATTGAGGTCAATATGAGGCTAGGAATAATGAATGGTATTGTAAGCTGATGATTGCATTGTTATATCAGTACATCAAACCTTATATCAACCCCTACTGCATAGTTCTGATACTTGTTTTTATATCATAGAAATTCATAATTTTCTGATTTCTTTTGCTAAAACTACCAAAATATGTAAGTAAAAGACAAATAAAGTAAATACATAGTTTAACCATCAAGATACAAATAACTATTAGACCAAATTAACATGACTAAAGGGAAAGACTAATGTTAAAATCTCACATTTCGGAAGTATACTGAATGTTAACTCTAAGCATCAAAATCAATATACAATGTATGATATATATTCATTTCTTAACAATAAATGAAGGAATAAATTATTGTACCTAGTTCCAGAATTATTTGGTAGTTTGCCCACTTCCATGACTGCGTCATTCTTAGAACATTATACAGCCATGACAGATTTTGGTGAGATCAGTTCTGGTTTTGTTTAAATACATTTTGTAGTTTAACAGTTTTGTTTTTATAATCATGGTGATTGTGTGAAGAACATATGTAGTTTCATTTTCATTATATATGCTGTGATCACTCTCCCATGTTCATTTTTTATGTGAATTGAGTATTCCTGTTTGCAGTTTTGTGTGGTTTGAAAATCTGCAGTATGTAGTATCAACTTATAAAGTCTATATGATTCAAAGGTGCTAAGTTTCAAAGTTTTCTTATATTTTAAATGTTATGATAAAAAACTGTTTCTCCAGAAATTAGAATTCATACATTCTTGTTTGCTCTTTATCAGTTTTATCTTAGTTTTGCTTGACTTATTAGACACATGCATAGGCTCACCTTTTAAACATTGTGTTTTATAAATATATTGGTCGTATTTCTAACTAAATACCAAAATATTTAATTGTGATACTTGTTTTTAACATATTTATATATATATAAATATGAAAAAAAGAGATGCTGGGTATACATATAATTTAAAAAAAAAACACATATGCTACATTTCTGTGTATTTTAACTATATTTTACTGTGAAAAAAGTAACAGTTTTATGCTGTTTTTTTGGCTGTACTTGTAATTGTACATACTCATGCTCAAAAGTTAAGTGTGGAAAATTCTATGCTATAAAAAAAAAGATAGAACAGAAAAAGGCTGATATAATTTGAAAATGGTTTTATTTTTCACTTCCAAAAATAAAAAAATGTATTGAGTGATTATTCAGTGTAATTGGCAATGACGGCCAATGTAGAGTAACATGTATGTAGATACTAAATTGCTTCATAAATGTTCTGTTATAATTTTTATCAATTATTTCTAATCTTAACTTTTCTTTTTTAATACAATAACTAATAAAGGAGCATAACCATGATACAATATAGATTAAAGTAAATTTCATTAATATTAGACTCTATGTGTAAAAAGTACAGTTTTAAATTGATACTTGAGATTAAAGACTAATGTGATGAACAGTATCTGAATTCAGACACAAGATATATATAGATTCTACCACTGCATCGAGTGTGATACAATATTTATCCACTCTAGACAGTTTAATTTTCAAATTTAAAACGCGAGGCTCGCCGAGTGTTTTAAATATTTAAAATTTAACTGTAGAGAGTGGATAAATATCGTATTACACGAGATTTGGTGGTGGAATCTGTTTCTCTAATGATTTTCAAACAATTTGCAGGCAAACCTATTAAGTCTTTTCGAATGATCTGTAAAAAGATGTGTTCTTTCTATGTGACGTCATCTGGCATGGTCGCCTTTTTTCATGCCGTCACAATAGGAAATTCAGAGGAAAGCAAGTAAATTCAGCGTCATAATCGGATTTTAACCAATGAAGAACTGAGATCAAACAAACCACACGTTGATTAAATTTTTTTTATACAATGGGTGCACTTAGAATGTTTGTGCACTTTAAAATACAAAAAAAAATGGATTTCAATTACATTCGAAAGAATGAGTGAATAATATTTCCTGTACTTATGAAATATTGTATTTGAAAAGATCCAGCTATCTAAGGCAGATGTGATGGAGGCCAATACAATTTTATTAGCAACGCTTGAGCAGGGCTTTGAAAAAGGCATAAAAACAAAAAAGATAAAGTACCAAATTTCGAGGAAATATACATTATTGAAGTGTATTTAGGTCAAGGCATGTTATTGTTACATGTATTGAAACTTCGGAACTAAATATTCATTTTATATGCATTAATTTATAGAGTATGGTATAGTTATAATCCATGTTTGTAAATTTAAATACCCAAATAACAAGTTAGGTTAAAAGTACATTTCTTACTATACTTACTTTCAAATGGTGTTTTTCCTACAGCGACCTTGGGAAGTTTAGTTCCATCCTCATCCTTCATTGAACAATACATTCCACTTAAAGAATTTGGGGAACGACAGAGAAAAGCTAAATTTGTCAGCCTACAGAGTAAAATGAGTGATATTGCAATGGAAGTTGAAATCTGTAGCACTTGTAGATGTTCTAAATGTAAATTGTTACTTTATGATGAAGAAATAATGGCAGGCTGGTCAGCTGACGACTCCAATCTTAATACCACGTAAGTATGAATTGGTCAACTGATGACTCAAATCTAAATGCCACATACAGGTAAGTATAAGATGGTCAGCTGAGAAGTTTAAAATAAAGTAGGCATGATTTATTATACAGCTTGTGCACAACTACAAGTCTAAATTCCAAACCTCAGGGGTCGTATCAGGCTGCGTTCAGCGAAGCATTTTATTACAAATTAGTCCAGAAAAAATATTCATTGTTGAAGGCTGTACAGTGACCTATAGTTGTTAACTTCTACATCATTTGGTCTCTGGTGGAGAGTTGTCTCATTGGCAATCAATCACATCTGCTTATTATTATATCATATATGCAAAATGATATAAAATAATGCACCCTGTTTATACATTTATGTCCTATTACTCACTTTCTTGCTTTCCATGGGTATTGACATTAATTGTTGAATTATTTTTTTTACAGATGTATATTCTGTACTACCAAACTAGTACCTAATTTACAGATATATACAAAGGTAAGTCAAGTAGTCAGATCTTTTGTAAATTATTAACTTTATCAAAACTGTTTTGACTGCTATACAAGCACAATATTTCAGTTGTAAATTCTATTACAGCTAAAAATAAAACTTGTCTACAACTATGTTTGAGTGATTTGGATACAAAATATTGTATAAACAGAGGGAAATCTATATCAGAAATTATTAGTCCTTTTGTAGATTATCCTGTTAAAATATGCAAAAACCAAAGGGAAACTTTTATGAATATATATATATTATATAGATTTCACCACTGCAACAAGTGTGTTAGGATATTTCTCCACTCTTAATTCTTAAAGTGAGAGGCTTGCCGAACTTTTTAAATAATTAAAATTTAACTGTTGAGAGTGGAGAAATATCGTAATACACGCATTATAGTGGTGGAATCTGTTTCTCTAATGATTTTTATCCTTCCTTTTCAAAAATTTACAGAAAGTTGTGTTCTTTATATGTGACGTCGCCTTTTTTCATGACGTCACAATAGGTAATTCAGAAGAAACCAAGAAAATTTGACATTATTATGAGATTTCGACCAATAATTTGCAGAGAACAGATATTTCACTAGTGAGGAGAAATATTTTTCTCACACCGATCAAGAAATATGAAAATAGCGCAAAAATTAGAGAAATTTGTTTCTACAATTATATTTATGTTGTACATTATTGATTTGTATTATAGGACTGGAGAGGAAATAAACCGTCAGAGTTGGTAGATATTGAGGATGATAAGGATAGTGATGTTCGTTCTAGTCACAGTGGACAGGACCCATGGGTCCTACAAGATCAAAAAGACGGTGACCATCGGTCATCTTTATCTAGTCTAGATAACCCGAATGCCACATTTTTCTTCCCAGAGGAACAGTTAGAAGACGATGACAGTATGTCGCTCAGTCCTTCCCTTTCACCTTCCAAAGTTAGGAAATCCAATCATAACCAACTACAGGCTACCAAAGATAGTCACCTGGCAGAGGCAGCAGCTAGAAGTCCTAGCAGCCCTGACTCCTCCACTAGTATGTTTATCCTTCCACACAAGCTTGCTTTGCACCCTTTTATACACACAATTCCAAATTATTATTTTTCTGGATTATAGTTATTAGGGTACATGTTTATATATTGATATTTCTCTTAAGGGAGATAATTGGTGGTGGTGGTTGGGGGATGGGTCTAAATTATAAACGATTACTTTTGCCAAAATTTCGTTGTTATCGTGTTATTTAAAAAAAAAATAAAACGAAAAGAATGGGTCATCAGGTTTTTTTCAAGCTGAAAGTTCTGCAAAGTTGTCAGATTTTGTAAGGATATACATGGGAAAAAGCACCATTATGTGAAAAGAAAGAAAACTCAATGTTAGAATTTTTAAACAAAATATGAGAAAATAGATCTTACAATGTGCCCTTATAAATTAAAAATTTGAATTAAAGTTACTTGTCGTTTTCTTGTTACATAACAAAAATAAGTAAATTTACTGTAACATGGATCACCACAGTCTATTTAAAGGGGGTGCTCTTCCACCATTGATGTTTTAACACAACCCTTGGATTCTTGCACCATTCTTGATTTCCTCAGCATAAATAATATAATTTTGAGGTATAGTAACTTTTACTGTACGTTCCTTTATCATGTTTATAAACTAAATTATCTTAGTTATCTTCAATGATATAACAAATTTTGAAATTTTGAATCTATGAAAACCTTTTCTTTTTTTGGGGGGTAAAAATATGCTACAATAAGATAAAATCATCAACAAAATCTTCACTTAAATGAAAAATTAGAATAGTCTCACAAATCAATTCTAATTCTGCATCTAATTTGTTAATATCGGAAAAAATCTAGACCAATCATTTGCAGGAATTTCCAATCATAGATTAATCCAGCGCCTCTCCCATCTACCTTTATTATTTGGTTTTACATTCAATATAAATAGAAAATACTCACAAACTTTAATATTCACTTTAGCTATTTTCAAGGTAAGTCTTCAGGCATTAAAATTAGGCAAGCAAAATAAAGTAAATCTTTTTAATATTTAAAAGTGATAACACAGAACAGAACCTATGCCAGTTGTAAATTTTATTTCTTGAAAAGTTCTCTTACAATTAATGTGAATAAACATTGTCAGCTTTGGATTTAATTGTTTTTAACATTGACGTTAAATACAGATTCTAACTAAAGATAGTGAATTTTGAATATAAATGAAGACACTACTTATTAACTTATCAACAACAATTTATGTAATAAAATAAAAAAAAAAACATTAGTAAAATAAACTTTTACATTATAACTGTACTCAAATTTTGACATAAATATTATTGTCTTTCCTCCAAAAGGTTCAGTTAATTTAGAAGACATGGCACAGAAAGGGTTGAGACGTCGATGTGCCAGTGAATGTTTTACTAGTGCTACAGACAACATGGTGTATGGTTCGTCCTACGATTCTACTGACGACTTTCAGGCTAGATTTATGAGGTCTCCATTACGTATATCTATAGGTGAAGAAGAAGTGCTACCATCAGGTCCAGATCCTATTCCTGAAATGAAGAGGGATTTTATGGATAGGTACGATATTTCATTGATTATTATGTACTAAGGCTTTATTATAAACAATTTCAAAAAGTATTTAGAAACTACAAAATGTATTCCAGTTGAGAAATCGTACTTGATTTTAATTTGATGTGACTTTATTTGATATTACTATCTAAATAGCACAAATATTTTTGACACCTGTGCACTACTTATTGTTAATGTTCTTATGCATTTAATATTTTTATTCCATTAAAATACCTGAAGTTGGTAAGAAGGAATTTTATGCAATGAAAATGTGGTAAAATTGTCTTTCGTATTTTTTTTTTTGCTTTTTCAATGTGAATATGACATTGTAATTAGAAGTGTACTTGATTCCTGTTGTCAATTTAGTAAACCTCCCGAGTTGTATTTACTACTAATCAGAGATTGAAAAGAGTTTATACTTAAAAAAGCTATGGCAATACCAATCAGTTGATAGAATAATGTACAATGTTCACAATATGTAATATAGATTATCTGTTACAGGTGTACATCTAGTTTAGACCCTATAAGTGTACCCTACCTAAGGTAAAATGTTTACAGTATGTAATATAGATTGTTTGTTACAGGTGTACATCTAGTTTAGACCCTATCAGTGTACCATACCTTAGTCCTATTGTATTAAGAAAGGAATTGGAGAACATCCTGTCCAGTGAGGGTGATCTCTCTTTGACATCTGATAACTTTCTTGATGAACATCCAATCATATTCTGGAATCTAGTAAGTATCACACAGCCTTTAAAGTAAAAGTTAACTACTTCATTGTCTTTTTGTCTTGTCTGAAATGAATGTCTCAGAATATGAGACGTAGGGATGCTTATTCATGGGTTTTGGCTGCATATTTCAGAAGATAAAAAAGCTGGATAATCCCAATCTTACAAAGATCTCATATGGTCTTAACTTTCTGTCTGGCTATGTCTGTTCTACTTTACCTGATTTTCATGGTTAAATGACTGCTTAAAGAATATAGAGTTATTTATCACAATTTTTTTCTGCTATGAGTAATAGGACAATTATGTATGATATACAACGATTGTAAGGTGTTTATATCTAACATCTGACCTTGACCTCATTTTCATGGTTCATTGGTCAACATTTAGTTTTTGTGATTATTTCTATTTCTCATATACTATAAGATATAGGTAAGCTATAGTAAGTGTATAGAATGATAATTGATTGTAAGCTATAGTAAGTGTATGGAATGATAATTGATTGTACGCTATAGTAAGTGTATGGAATGATAATTATTGTACGCTATAGTAAGTGTATAGAATGATAATTGATTGTACGCTATAGTAAGTGTATGGAATGATAATTGATTGTACCCTATAGTAAGTGTATGGAATGAGTGTATGGAATGATAATTGATTGTACGCTATAGTAAGTGTATGGAATGATAATTGATTGTAAACTATAGTAAGTGTATGGAATGATAATTGATTGTAAACTATAGTAAGTGTATAGAATGATAATTGATTGTACACTATAGTAAGTGTATAGAATGATAATTGATTGTACACTATAGTAAGTGTATAGAATGATAATTGATTGTACGCTATAGTAAGTGTATAGAATGATAATTGATACGCTATAGTAAGTGTATAGAATGATAATTGATTGTACGCTATAGTAAGTGTATGGAATGATAATTGATTGTACGCTATAGTAAGTGTATGGAATGATAATTGATTGTAAACTATAGTAAGTGTATGGAATGATAATTGATTGTAAACTATAGTAAGTGTATGGAATGATAATGGATTGTACACTATAGTAAGTGTATGGAATGATAATTGATTGTAAACTATAGTAAGTGTATAGAATGATAATGGATTGTACACTATAGTAAGTGTATGGAATGATAATTGATTGTACACTATAGTAAGTGTATAGAATGATCATTGATTGTACGCTATAGTAAGTGTATAGAATGATAATTGATTGTAAGATGCACAATTTTCTCACACAAGTTTCATTTCTTCTCTAGGTTTGGTATTTTAAAAGAATAGAAGTTCCTAGTCATTTACCAGGATTTTTATTGACTGCAAAATCTATAAACAAATGTTCTAAGGTAAGATAAGATATTTTTTGTACATATCTATGCATCTATAATGTGGATTCATTGTCATTAAAATTAGTATTAAAATTATAGACTTTTTAAAGAAGAAAGCCATCTTTAACCAAGTGTATTAAAAAATTTTAAAGCTTAAATTATTCAGTCATCCTAACTTACTTGTTTTAAAAAAAAATGTCATTTGCTGTGGTGGTTTTATTTCAGAATTTAAAGTATACACTAGTCAACATGTTTTATTCAGACCTCTTGACTAACTTGTTTAACAGATTGACAGTTGCTATGGTGGTTTTATTTCAGAATTCAGAAGGAGTATACACTAGTCAACATGTTTTATTCAGACCTCAGTGGGATAATCTTAGGATACATGAAGAAGTTGGATTACCCATGTACAAAGCCTGGAATGAGGGTATGTAAAAGTGGAAAATTAGAAATCTTTATTTAGTGGAAATAACAATATCTTATGTGTTAATTCTAATGTAACACTGTTATAATGTTCATTTTGATTGGATAACATTACAAATTCAGGCTAGCAATTCCTTGATCATGGTCTGAAATTGTATACATATGTTAAGACGTCGATTAAAGGATTTTAAAAACCCAGTTTTTATACGACCGCAAAAAAAATTTGCGCCTGTATATTGGTATGACGTTGGCGGTGTCGTCGTTGTCAGAAGACACATTGGTTTTCACACTCTAACTTTAGTTTAAGTGAATGGATCTCTATGAAATTTTACCATAAGGTTCAATACCACAAAAGGAAGGTTGGGATTGATTTTGGGGGTTATAGTACCAACAGTTAAGGAATTAGGGGCCAAAAATGGGCCAAAAATAAGCATTTTTGTAACTTCCAGACATAACTTGTGTGTTAGTGTATGGATCTCTCTGACATTGTACCACAAGGTTCCATATCACAAAGGGAATGCTGGGATTGATTTTGGGGGTAATTGCCTCAAAATTTTAGGAATAAGGGGCCAAAAAAGGGGCAAAAAACAAGCATTTTTCTAGTTTCATGACAATAACTTGTGTGTAAGTGTATGGATCTTTCTGAAATTGTACTAAAAGGTTCCATATCACAAAGGGAAAGCTGGAATTGAGTTTGGGGGTAATTGCCCTAAACGTTTAGGAATAAGGGGCCAAAAATAAGCATTTTTCTAGTTTCAGGACAATAACTTGTGTGTAAGTGTATGGATCTTTATGAAATTGTACAACAAGGTTCCATATAACAAAGGGAAAGCTGGGTTTGAGTTTGGGGGTAATTGCCCTAAACGTTTAGGAATAAGGGGCCAAAAAACAAGCATTTTTCTAGTTTCCAGACAATAACTTGTGTTCAAGTGTATGGATCTCTCTGAAATTGTACTGCAAGGTACCATACCACAAAGGGAAGGCTGTTATTGAGTTTGGGGGTGATGAATCATAAGGGGGTTCAAAAAATTGGGGGGGGTGGTGGGATTTTTTTTCCTTTTTTTCCTTTTTTTTTCTTTAAAATTTTCCATTTGAAATTGGTTATTTCTGATTTATATATAAAAGCAAATAATAATGATATGGTTTGAATAGGTAAGTTAAATTTTTTTAAGTTCTTAGACCACATTCATTCTGTGTCAGAAACCTATGCTGTGTCAAATATTTAATCACAATCCAAATTCAGAGCTGTATCAAGCTTGAATGTTGTGTCCATACTTGCCCCAACTGTTCAGGGTTCGACCTCTGCGGTCATATCAAGCTGCGCCCAGTGGAGCATTTTATTCCAAATGCATAAGCATTGAGATAGCAGTATTGGATTTTAATATTTGCTAGCGTCTGTTTTTGTCTCGCCATAAGTATTACTATCCGGCGGCGGCATAAACTATTTATATAAAGCTTTATATTTCAGAAGGTAGAAGACCTGGGTGGTTCGTGCCATGTATGCAGATACCTTATGTTATGAAGTTTCTCACTGTCATATGCCCATTGTCCTTGACCTCATTTTCATGGTTCAGTGACTGCTTGAAAAAAAATTACAGTTTTTTTGTCATGTGAATTTCTCACTTATTATGAGTAATAGGATAACTATATTTGCTATATGGGTTCTTTGCAACATCTACATGTCCGTCAGACAGGGTTAACCTGACCTCGACCTTAATTGATGGATCAGTGATCAAGGTTAAAGTTACATGATTAGGTCCGTTTCTCAGATACTACAAGCAGCAGGTCAACTATATGTGGTGTATGGAATTATTGTTAGGGGTACATGTCAGACTGGCAGGTTTCAACTGACCTTGACCTCATTTTCATGGTTCTTTGCTTATTGTTAATTTTTTGTGTTTTGGTTTGTTTTTTCAAGTACTGTAAGTAACAGTTGACCTATATTTGGTGTATGGAATGATTGTAAGGTGTACATGTCTGTCTAGCTGGTGTCATCTGACCTTGACCTCATTTTCATGGTTCATTGGTCAATGTTAAGTTTTTGTGTTTTGGCCTGTTTTTCAAATACTAATATCAGTAGGTCAACTATAATTGGTGTATGGAATGATTGTAAGGTGTACATGTATGTCTAGCCAGTATCATCTGACCTTGACCTCATTTCCATGGTTCATTGGTTAACATATAAGTTTTTGTGTTTTGGTCTGTTTTTCAATTACCATAAGCAATGGGTCAACTATATTTGGTGTATGGAATAATTGTAAGGTGTACATGTCTGTGTGACAGTTTTTATCTGACCTTGACCTCATTTTCATGGATCTTTAAAAATGTTAAGTTTGTGTGATACTTGTAGTAAAACCTTTATCTTTAAGACTTTCAACATAAAATCAATGGTCAGTAAAACAGGCCAGACATTTCAGCGAGTGCACTCTTGTCGATTTTATGGTCACATATTTTTATTTACCCCCTTGATGTGTCATCAGTAAGGTCAATTTTCAATCATCATATCAGTGGATGCTTTCAAATCTTCAAATAGAATACTGTTTTGTCCTAATAAAGTAACATGGGGAGAAAATTAGGGAGTTAATAATTTTTGTTTTTTTAGTGCTTTTCAGGAGATAAATGTAAAAAAGGATGTTAATTTATTCCACTATGCTTATAATTTTAGTTAATACGATCTTATTAGTATAGAAACAATCTCAACCCATTAAATAATATTTGAAGTGCTTTCTGATCTTTAAAAAAAAATCTAGAATACCTTGAAGATTTAATTTTGATTAAGAAAGATATAAGTATCAAGGAAACAACAATACAAGTTTCACAAAACAGGTCACAATTGGTCAGTGATTGACAAATATGCACCCACATATCAATTGAAATAAATATTTTTTTCTACAGGTTACAGCTCACATATTGTTGATGCATTGGTTACTGAAGCAAAACCATTTAACAGAGCGTAAGTTTTGCTGTTGATTAATTTGATGTTTATTAGTCTTAAGTGAAAAACTAGTTGCTTTTTCATGTCGGGAGGCAGTCTATTTAAGTTATATGTGGTTGGACAGGCGGGTTATAACAAGATTTTCTATTATGAAATGATTGATTTTATGTTTATTTGGTCAGGAGTTTTGTAATATGGTATTAAGGTTATGGAATATATGAATAATATGATTCATATTACCATTCTTATATTCTGGACAGCTCCACAAATGATTTCTTTAAAAAAATAACAGGATATATTACATCAGTAACTTTTACACTCTGTTCATTATTTTACCTTGTCTTTACAGAATTTTACACCAGATAATTACGAGTATACAATGCAATGATCTACTTAGTCCAATAAAGATGGTGATGAACTGTCGTAGACGACTCCGTATACAGAGAAGTCGACATAGAAGTATTTACAGAGATATTCTATTCTTAGCTTTAGTGGCATGTGGTCGGGAAAATATTGACTGTGGTTAGTACACAATTTTTAGGAAATTCTTTTTTCGAATGAAAATGAGTTGGCAAGAGTAAGTGTATGATTCATGAAAGTTTTGATGAAAGAAAGTAGGACAATATTGATTGTCTGGTCCAAAACATATTAAATGTTGAATTATCTCATCTGAACAAAGTAGTGGATGAGATATGGGTACACTTTTGTCAGTTGGTAAATCCCTTTAACATCTAATGTTGTTTTGAAATATGTTACTTTGTGTATTGGTATCCCATGAGGAGAACATGAATATAATGGTCATGGTCCCATGATAACCTTACTGAAAAAAAAAATTGAAGACACTATTGAATTTAAAATTAAAAAGTCTCTTGCATCCTTTACCAGACATGTCACTCCCTAATTAAGAAAGGATAAATTCCTATTTTATATCAAGGTCATAGGTCAAGGATACCTGATATCCTTATGGAAAAACATCCAAAATATATTGTACTATGTATGTCAAGGGGATACTCTTCTCGCAGTGCCTTTGTCATCATAATGATATAATGTTTATAAAACAACAATCTTTCAACCATATTTCGGGTAAGACAGGCAATACTATACCAATGACCAGAGGTTCCTCTGTTCAACAGATTACCACTTGAGAGAAATTATCATTAAATGAGGACCATTGGTTTAACACTCCTTTAAATGTTCAGAACTGATTGTTGTTCAAAATGCTATTAGTTCATTATATCTTTGGATGTTTGAAGAATATTTATTGAACTTTCTGTCTTACATAGTTAAATAAAGTGAATTTATTTTATAATGTATTTATTATGTATTTAATTCAGATGCTTTTGACCGGGAATTCCGTACAGCATTCCTCAAACTGTCCCAAATGGAAATGAAAAGAACTCAAAGAGACGACAGACCAAGGAAAACTAAAGTCATATGGTGTCGAAAAGTATTTGGTGAACTAGAAGTTTGAGGAATAGAGGGATCTAAAACTGACAGACCAAGGAAAACTAAAGTCATATGGTGTCGAAAAGTATTTGGTGAACTAGAAGTTTGAAGAATAGAGGGATCTAAAACTGCAATCTATATATAATCCTGATTTCAAAATATACTGAATTAAATTATTGGAGTAATAATTTTTATCAGATACATGTAAATTTGACCATGGGATTTGAAACAATTTTGATTTATCTGATTATAGGCTTTCAATTTGTGTTTATATGTCTTCAATATGTTATGATCATGTGGAAAGATGTATATAACATGTAGTTAGACTCTGATAGATATAACAGGAAATATTACAAACTGGTAGCAATATATTTTATCTGTGATAAAACTTTTCCTGCTGTGGTTTATAGACTTGCCGTATTATTTGTTGTGAGATTCTGTGTTTGATTGTGGTGCTTTTTATTTTGGTGGTATGCTCTACATTATAAGTTTCAATCATGGCTTCAATGTAGATAACATTTATATCTGATCAGAGTGTCAAACCATGTGATGCTTTCCATAGGTAACAAGTGTAATATCATTTATTGATCTTGGCTATGACTATTCAGACTCTGTTTTAACATTTATTTATATATGCATTTCGTATTCATCCAGGTATTAACATTATGAGAATGTAAGTAATAGACCTGTAACAAAGGCTGAACTTTCTGTTGTTTTTAACAAGTAAACAAAAAGTCCGAGAAATATGCTGTAGTTTAATAGTTATAGTCCATTTCATAGTGGTACCAAGGCATCTAAAGTTACCAAAATTATTTGTAATTAAAATTTCTCTCTTTTTAAAAAATGAAATGAGTTATGAAGAAAAAGTGGTTTGATTATTCTAGAGAAACAACTTTTTTTCAATTTGACATATAAATATTAATAAAACAAATTTTACATTTGCCATAATAAGATTTAACCTGAATTGTTACAAGCCACAAGACTCAAAAACCATCTGTGCTTCACAGTAATAGAATGTAATGTAATCAATAATTGTATTTATGGTAATTATGGGTAAATTGTAAGGTTGTGTAAATACTGTAGAAACTATTGTAAAATCTGTCTATAGAATGTTGTACAGAATGAAATTCCAAACTTTTTAAACTTGTTATTGTTTTGTTTGACATTATGATTTTTGTTTTCATAATTTGCATTAGTTAAATTAGGACATTCATATGAAATATGTTTTTGTGTCTTTAGCATTATTCTATTAAATAGGATGTCTTCATTAGCTTACTGTTTGGCATGCCAGGTATTATGTAGATTACCTTGCTTTGGCTGTAGGTGTTCAGTATGTTAGGGGGTTGGGTTTGTCTTTTTCTCCCAAATAAAAATCTTTTTCTTTTTAGTGAAATGTAAAGACGTTATAATGTATACATTATTTATGTCCTTAATAAACAAAATTTGTTGGATATATAAACCTTGCCCTGTGTATCTTTGAACCTCCTAAACGCTACTCCTCATTAACATTGGGATGGATTTCAATGAAACTTGACTCGATTGTATTTTACATGACATAAAATAAATCTGTTCAGACTTTATGTAGGGGATATAATTTATTTGATTCATCATGTAATATTGACATAATTAATTCCACTGATCCTAAACTATCTGATATTTAAATTAAGTTCACACAAAGGTAGTACACCATATTTGATAGAAATACTACAATTTGGCTTGTTGTGGACATTACTCATATAAAACAAAACTTGTATCATGTTTTCAATTGTATTTCTGTAGCATCTTTCTTGGCAATTACCATATTTCAGTATGTCAATATCAGTCCATTCTATCATTTAGAAATTCTTGTACCATAATACTGTTGCATGTCAATGTTAAAAAGTGACTGTAAGTTATTGCTGACATTTTAATTTTATTACCTGACCTTCAAAATATAGAAACACTGGGATTTATCAAGAATTGGAAGAAATGTACTAAAATGAATTGAATAAATAAGACTGTTGAATGTTAAAAAAATTAGATACCAGTATGCAGAAAACAATATATTTATCCTAGTCATGATACAGAACAGTAAAAGGAAGCTAGTTATTTACCACTAAAACCAATGCATTATTGTTAACGTTTAAATACCTCAAAAGTCACAAAGTTTTAAAAGTATGATTATAAAATGTTTTCCTTTGCTGATTTTACTATGGGAAGGGGGGATACCTTTTTTCTTTTTCTTTTTCTTTTTCTATATAAAAAATACCTATATTTACATTTAGCTTAAGTATTATAAGCTTATAAAGCTATGTTATTGTTTTGGTTAAATGGGTTTTTCTGAATAGTAGCAGTATCCAATGAGGGAGGTAAATATTTCATTATTTATAGTTATTATAATAGTGTGGTCAGCTAGTGTTTACATTGTCATTCATTGTATGTCATTATTGCTCATCAAATAAATACTCTTGACGATATATATTCTTTTTAATTTGTGTGTATTTGTAGTATGATATAGTAATGTTTGTTATACCATGGAGGGGATATACAGTTTTACCCCCAATTGTCTGTTTGTCTGTCTGTCAGTCTGTCCATCCATCCGTCCAATGAAATTTCTGTCCATACATGCTCAAAATGTTGAGATCTACCTATGGACCATTGCCCTTAAATGTCAAATATTTCCCTTTTTTTATACGCCCATCAAAATTTTGACTGGACGTATTATGGTATACAAATGTCTGGCGTCCGTCTGTCCGGCATCCACATGTCGCACCGTAACTTGAGAACGACTTATCCAAATTTCATGAAACTTGACATAGTTGTTTCTTATGATGGTCAAACAATCTGTATACTTTTTGGTGAAAATAAGATTAAAACTTTTTGAGTTACAGGACTTTGCAACTAAAACAGGGGGGTGTTTTTTCACATGTCGCGCCGTATCTCAAAAACGATTTATGATTATTGCTTAAAACTTTACATACTTCTTAGTTATATTAATCTAAAGATCTGTATACTTTTTGGTGATGATTCCAAATTTTATTTTAGAGTTATTGAGTTTTTTGTAAAAAAAAAGGGGGGGGGGGGGTTTCACATGTCGCGCCGTATATCAGAAACAATTTATGATTGTTGCACAAAACTCCACACACAAGACGACGGGTGTATCATGCGCTCGTGGTGCAGCTGTTTCTTTCGCTTTAGCTGATCTTGAAAACTATAATAAATGGAGAGAAATTTTAAATGTCAAGAATGATCAACAAGACAAAATTTACAAATGAGTCAACAATGGCTTAAATCGTCAGTCATCTCCTAATTGGAGCTATGACTCTTTTACCCGTGTTTGCACTTTAGGTGAAAACAAAATTAGAGAGAAAATAAGATCTGGTAATACGTCAACACTAACAAAGTCCTTAGTGATTGCCCTGTAATGAAGATCTTAGCCCATTTTCTTTTTTGAAAACTATTATAGATAATGCGAAACTGTAAACTAGGCCTTGTAAGCTTTTGCCATCACTGCCTCCTTTCATAAACCTTCATAATAAATCTTCTATGAAACCACTCAATAAGATGTATCTAACCTGAACAATTTTAGAAAAATCTTGTCAACCTTTTTGGGAGTTTTGAAACATCCATTTTTCAGATTTCGTAGCTATTTGCTGTCATCTTGAAAACTATAGGAACAAGATGAAAATTGCTAAAGTGATCAATTTGACAAGTTCTATCTACTCTGAAAATTTTAGAAAATCTGACAACCAGTTTTTGAGTTGTTGCTGTAGAAATGTTGATTTTTACTGTTATGTTTTGGCCGTTATCTTTAAAAGTACAGGAGCTAGGTTAGAAGTGTAAACTGCAAAAATATTTAGCAACACAAAAAAATATCTAGTATGTGCAATTAAAGGTCCTCATTAGCAAACTGGATCTTATTCACTAGTTGAGCTATAGAGGCTAAGGAGTCTCTTGTTTTCATTTTTGCATTACAATCCTGAATACTATAATGGATAGACAAAAACTCTGTTCAGCAAATACGATCAGTTAGACAAGATTTTGGCTTGGAAGTGTTCCTGTTCTACACAATATTCTTGTTGAATGTATGAGTTTCAAAAATGTCAAGTGAGCAATACAGGCCATTCAGAGCCTTAGGTTTCTTCATGAACACCATACTAAATCACGAACAAACACGAACAAATGCCATAAATATCTATAATTTATTGATGCTTATACATAAATGTGTAATTGTACAAAGTTTGATGAAAACAATATATTGCCTACACACAGATGACGTTGGCATTAACCCTGATTTAAATAATAATAATAATAATAAATAATAAATTCTTTATTTAAAGAGGGTAAACACAGTTAGTTACAATTACTAATATTCCCTGAGGCCCTCATATACAATACAAGTAAAAAAATAATAAGAGAAAAAAAGCAAACATACAACATATTAACACATAGTCAGTTCACAATCCTAAAGTCATGATAGTTCAGTGTACATGTACCATTAGAACATATAAACCAGTTACAGAGTGCATGTAGTAAATAGATATTATATACAAATCAAAATCATACATTCTAAAAAAGTAATAGTTGCAATCATTTCAAGACTTACCGGTAATATTGGGACTGCCTCAAGTATCGTTTTATAATTTGTTCAAAACAAAAAGTGTTTTGCACTTTACTCATTTCATATGGTAGTCCATTCCAAAAGATTTTTTAAACAGTTCAGTTTTTGGCTTAGGAACTATCAAATTACCTTGAGTAACACCCCTTAAAGCATAAGGATTATTAACAGATATAAGTTGAAACTTTTGAAGTAGGTACTGTGGTGTTTCTTTCCGCATACATTTACATAGCAGTAAATATTTGTGGTATATAATACTATTTTCTACTGTCATCCATCCAAGTTCTTTAAATAAGGGGGCTGATCTTTTTTTGAAGTTTTAATATTCTTATTATCCCTTCATTTTTACATTCTCCCCAAACAATACAGCAGTAATCGATGAGCGGCAGAATATACCAATTATAATATGCTTTCCTGGCATTAATATCTAAAAATTTCTTTAATTTAGAAAGAAGGTATATTCTTTATGAAATGCTAGCACAAATTTGATCAATTTTAACACCTAATAATTTTTCACATGATGAATTTTGTAGTGTTTCTGAATTTATTTGTAAATTTGGTTAAAAAGATTGAGTTGATAACGTCTGACTTGTTCCAGTAACCAAACATTTTGTTTTTTTAGTATTGATGAACATATTATTCATTTTGCACCATTCTTCAACTCTGCATAAATCTTCTTGTACATCATCATGTAAATTTTCTATGTTTTTCCCGGATTAGTGAAGAGTAGTATCATCAGCATACAAGTGTGTTTTACAATTTTTAATGCAAAGGGGAAGGTCATTTATAAATAAGACAAATAATAGAGGACCTAGTATAGATCCTTTGGGGACACCAAATTTCACATCTTTTTTTATCAGAATTAACATTGCAAATGTTTATTTGCTGTGTTCTATTACTTAGGTATGACCTGAAAAAACCTACTGCAGACTCACTGAATCCATAAATAGCAAGCTTTAAGCAAAGAATGTCATGATCTACAAGATCAAATGCTTTTTTGAAGTCCAACAGTATTGCTAGGTTTAAATTACCATCGTTCATTTCTTGCAGCCATTTGTCAATGATATTAATAAGTGCAGTTTGACAAGAATGATGTGGCCTGAAACCTGATGGTGTAGGATGTAAAAGTTTAAATTTAGTCAAGTACTTGTACATGTTATTGGGCATAACATGTACAAGTTGGCATGGGCATATCAATACCCACGCTACATCAATTTTTAAAGACCCAAATGTTGCAAAACACTTGTCCTACCTCCATGACAAATATGTTGTTGTCCCCGCAGATAAAGCCCCAAACAACATCGTTTTTGTGTGTAAATATCATTACATAAACTGCTTAATAAATGAATTGACAATTCACTTGGAAACTCAACATATACCCTCACGACACTTACCAAAGAGGAAATCCTGGATAATCATAGGTCTGTTCTATGTTCCTTTGGAATTTCAACCAAAGATGAAGAACTGGATCTTCCATCACTGTATTGGATACCTAAACTACATAAGTGTCCTTACAAACAACGGTATATTGCTGGGTCTTCCAAGTGCTCCACGAAACCTCTTTCTAAATTATTAACATCTATTTTATCAGCAATCAAAGCCGGGCTCCAAAGTTATTGTGAAACTGCCTATTCTAGAGGTGGCGTGAATCAGATGTGGATACTAAAAAATTCCAAAGATCTTTTAGAGTACATACAATCTAAGACTCTCTCATCTTGCAATAGTATTAAAACATTTGACTTTTCTACACTTTACACAAGTATTCCCCATTCCAAACTAAAAGACAAATTGAAAGAGTTGGTATTACTTTGTTTCATTAAAAAGAATGGCGAACGTAGATACAAGTATCTTGTCTTGGGGAGGGATAAATCCTACTTTGTAAAGAATCACTCTGATTCAAACAAAAAATTCTTTGAAACTGACATTATCAAGATGCTTGATTTCTTGATTGACAACATATTTGTTACGTTTGGAGGACGTGTTTTTCAACAGACTGTCGGAATTCCAATGGGAACCAATTGTGCCCCTCTTCTTGCCGACTTGTTTCTTTATTATTATGAGGCTGACTTCATACAGGAACTTCTTAGGAAGAAAGATAAGAAGTTAGCAATATCCTTTTTTTATTTTAACTCTACGTTCCGCTATATAGATGATGTTCTCTCACTAAATAATACAAAATTTGGTGACTATGTTGAACGAATCTATCCCATCGAACTAGAGATAAAGGATACTACAGATACAGTTAAGTCTGCCTCATATCTTGACTTACATCTAGAAATTGACAATGAGGGTCGGTTGAAAACAAAACTTTACGACAAAAGAGATGATTTCAGCTTCCCAATTGTGAACTTTCCATTTCTATGTAGCAACATTCCAGCAGCGCCTGCATACGGAGTATATATCTCCCAATTGATACGATATTCCCGGGCTTGTGTTTCCTATCATGATTTCCTTGATAGAGGATTGCTGCTCACAAGGAAGCTATTAAGCCAAGAGTTCCAAATGGTGAAGTTGAAATCATCCCTTCGTAAATTTTACGGACGCCATCACGAGTTGGTTGACCGTTATGGAATAACCGTTTCACAGATGATATCGGATATGTTCCTTATGTCGTAACTACAATACCCTTCCCTTTTCACGAATGTGACTTACCGAATTAGACTATTTACCGGATTTGTAATAACATAAGCAACACGACGGGTGCCACATGTCGAGCAGGATCTGCTTACCCTTCCGGAGCACCTGAGATCACCCCCAGTTTTTGGTGGGGTTCGTGTTGCTTAGTCTTTAGTTTTCTATGTTGTGTCATCTGTACTATTATTTGTCTGTTTGTTTTCGATCTATGAGTTTTGACTGTCC